CTTGTACTCATGGCCTTTGAGAAGCCAGCAATGCAGAGGCAGGTGGCAGAGCCAATATCTAGGGATACCAATGAGAGGAATGACAACCAGTAGACTCCTTTCACAGCAACTAAGGAGAAATAGCTGCTTCACTGAAGGCAAACTTTCTAGCTGGCTAGTGAATAAAATGCTTGATAGTTACTATTCTACACAGGATTTCTGAACAGCCTCTTGTTTCATTTGGTTTTGTTTTAAAATGTAGAGACTGAGTGAGCTAGAGAAACCAGCAATTGTCACTTTGCTTCTATCTGTACTAGGTGGAAATGGGACACGACAGTTTACATTTTGGGTGGTCCTATGCAGAGCCAGGAGTTTGACTCTATCCTTGTGGGTCCCTTCTAACTCAGGATATTCTGTGATAGCACAGAATTCACCTGTATCTCCTGTAATGCAAATAAACAAACCACAACAACATGGGACAATCTGGCCAGAGGAAATGGAAGTGGGTGGCTAAAATGTTCGCCTTAGTTCCTGACTTTCAGAGTGTTGGCAACTCTGCAAATTTACATTCCAGCCTTCTCTATGTGTGCCTCAGTCCACACAACCACATCTTCCTCCAGCACATGGAAATAGAGAATACAAAGGGAATTTTCAGCTTAAAAACACACACGGTGCTCCAGGACTCTGCAAAGAAGTGGAGAGGACCCAAAGTTACAGTCCTTAGATCTCATTCCTCTTTTGCCTCTTACCTTTAGCTATTACTGTATAATGTTTTAATGGATTAAGCCACTACCTAGTCCCAGTGATATCTCTTGGTAAAGCAACTCTCAACCAAACTAAGTGCCATTAGGTAGGATGTGAGAAGCAAAATGTCCTGGTAAAACACATTCCTTGTTATGAAAGAAACCCTGCAACAAACCACACAGATCAAATACACTCTAGTAAACAGCATGGCATGTCAGCTGAGCGAAGACCTCTCTGAGACTGTCTGAGTAGCAATAATGCTTATTGGCTGCTTTTAAATAAACTTACCAGAACTTTTGAGGTCTCTAAGATACATTTAAATCCTCCAAGTTTGGGCAAAAAAACAAAGCAAGAAGCAAAGATATTCCAGGTCCTCACTGCAGGAAGAATATTTGCAGGAGCACTCAGGTATTTGACGCTGGAGAATCCACAGTGGGCGTGGGTAGGAAAGAAATTATAAAAGCAGCAACCACTGGGAAAAGATTCAACAGCAGCTCAATGTTTCACATGAAGCAATCTCAGGATTCCAGCCCCCGTCCTCAAGCACGCATCCTCCTCCTACAACGTGGCTGCAGTTTACTCCTTTGTGTTACCCCACACAAATGTTTTTAACATTCATTCAGAACTCTTGCTGCTGAAATCTGTCACTACAATCACGTTGTCCACTCTGAAACAAACTGCATCCCAGGATTTACTGTGTGCATGGATTATTTTGAGTGGCCTGTGCACTGACTCACAATCAAGAAATGGCCTACGTTCTTACTGAGATATTTAGATCATGAAGGAAGACAGATACAAAACAGATAGCACTGCCAAAAAATGACTCACAGATCATCTTGTTCACTCATTCTGAATTAGTGGACAAGCAGATTTGTCCCTAAAGGATGTCTCATGTTCCTGAGGACACTGGATGGTGGCAGATAAGCCAAACACCCTGCATCCTGTTTTATTTATCCCCATTGCAGTCTAGCTATCATGTTGATCTGGAGAGTCTTCTAGAGTTGCAGACAATTTCAAGGAGTCATCTCTTTTTGTACTGGTACTTGCATAAGCTCTATGCTTTCTTTCAGATACTACTCTGTAAGCATTATCTAAAATACAGGGGAAGGAGTTGTCTTCTTCAGAGTTGAAAGGCAGCAAAGCAGAGGACAATACAGGGCATCTCTCAGCAGGCACTGGGCAGATACTACGTCACTAAATGCACAAACTTTTGACAGCACTGTAAATGTATGCAGCATGGCAGTAGAGAGAGAAAAAACATGGCTCTCTTCCCAGTGACCTTTGTGAACCAACAGATGGGACAGCAGTTCAACTTCATACTTCCCTTTTCCTAACGCGTGTGTTGGGTGCTGCAGGGGAGAATGAACTTCCCAAAAGAATCTGAACAGATGTGAAGGACAATGCTGTGATTGCCATCAGATAAACAAAGAGTATACAGTCAGTCATCTGTTCTGAAAAAAACAAATTCCTCCAAGATAAGCCAACATTTCTTACATCTCCTAGAGAGCAGTCTCCGCGTTTTGCTGTGCTTTCTCTAGCCAGAATTCTCTAGTTCTCATTTGCTCAGATCCCTCCACAGAGCAGCACTGCCCACCAGCACAGCTTGGCACTCACTAGTGCTGAGGCTGGCTGAGGAGCTGCAATGTTCAGAAGATCCCACCTTCTCTTTAGACACAAGCTGGTCTCTGTTAACCGCACAGCTGCTGCAGGGACACGGCAGCAAGTCTTCCTTAGCTGCAGCTTGCTTTCAAGCCAATGTCCTTAAAGAAATGGGACTCTGCAGACACCATGGTACCACAAGCTATATAAATACCTAAAACTTGAGAAAATATGGGACAACAACTTGCCAGAGGCAGCACAGTAACACTGTATTAAAAACCCAGCTATTTGCTGTGTTTGTAAGGAATAACTCATTTTTCAATGAAGAGCCATAGGAAATGGGTTGGATTGCCATTTGGGATATAAACACATTTTGAAAGGAAATCAATTCCAGAGGCTGTTCCCCGTTTTGCAGTCTTAGCCCCATCTAATCTACAACTCAGTCCATGTTGATATCCAGCATTCTCGTATTTCAAGCTGAACAATCTCATCAACAGCTGGGTAACCAAGTGTAGCAAGTGCAGCATTAAGAAAGTGACAGAACCTGTCAGAATGAAATTTCTTCAATGAAACAATACTCTTTCGATGGCTCTTAATTGAGAGACCTGATAACCACTTAGATTTGATTGTCAGAACATGGTGGAAACGTCCAATCCAATTTTATCACTCGCTTCCCCAGCAGGATCACTGTTATTCTGTTTTCAACCAACACTGTATGTGTCTTTGTTAACTGCTTTACCTTAATTTTGAAAATTTTAATTGAGTTTGGCACTTGCATGAAGTCTGAAACTGACAGCTTGATTGCTGCCACTACCTATTTTCTCCTGGAACATGAGCAGAATCCCTCTGTAGCACAATGACACAGTTCTCCATCAGCCCCTTGGTAAACTCTGCATGTAGAAAGCAAAGTATAACCACAGATTTCTGTGCTGAGAGCCACAGTAAGTGAAAATTACACAGCATGTACAGGCAGCCATGACAAGCTGGCTAAGGCTAGCAATGATTTCAAAAACACTTAGAGGCAGGCTTCTGATTGTAAAGCTGAAGAAGGTGCATTTGAACTGCAACCTCAGTGCACACATTTCCAGTATCTATTGACAGCATCTGAGCTGCTTGGCCTTCAATCACCTCAAAGATGCTGAGATTCAGAGTCAATAAGCAGATCATCACCAGGCAAGAGGAACAAACTAGCAGATCTCTCCTTCCATCTATGAGGTCCATTACTAAAGCTCAGCAACTGTAAAACTGAGCCCTAGGTATTTGGAAAGCAGCCTAGAGATTCCAAACCAATGAGATTTTGGATCCCATCACTGCAGAAGGAGTATTAAAACTTCAGTCATGTCCTGAATTCCAAAATTTTAGACTGAAATTCTTTGAACGTGGCACCAAAGCTGGCTTCCAGTTAACTAATGCTAAAGGCTCCTCTGCAAATAGGGGAACGCTCATTTTTTTTGGAGGGAGAGTGAAAGTGGTCATTGTTAAATGGAAAGCTGCAAGATCTTCTGTTCAATAAGCTCTGGGAGGAGTTTTTACTGCCAAAGAGAAACAACTTTGGACATCTCTGCATCTTCAGTGCAGACACTGGAGGTGGCTTAATGTATGGAAACCCAGCACCAGAAATGTAAAAAACGAGGAGTACACACGGAATTACTGCAGATCCAACCGATCACCGATTACTTAAAAACATCTCCCTTCAGTCCTACAGTCTGTGGAAAATACTGACGACCCAGAGCTGCTCAGCTCTACGGCTGGCTGAAGATAAAGGTGTAACTCTGCTTTGTATTCCCACCAATGGTCTCCAGAAACAAAGTTTCTGTTCACAAGCTTCTGCTGCAGAAGGTGCTGAATCAGCACACTCAGGTAACATCCTTGCAGGGGAAACGTCATCCCCAGACCACTGGTACACTTAGCATTTTCTAGACAGTTAGCAGAGAAGACACAGAGACTGCTGTCAATACAGCACTGCTTCTAAAAGATGACGTATGAAGAAATTAAAATCACTTTGGATTAACATTGCTTTAAAGAGTTCATACTGTCTCCGCCCCCAAATTGCTGCTTTAAGCATTACAGCTAAATAAATTCATTATATTCCACTAACAGCAATATGCTATTAATATCAGATATGAACTTGTCTTGCATAACTGTGTTTTTTCCCCCATTTTAAAAGATGAATTCCCTTGTAATGCAGAGAATTTGTTAGAGTTTTAAAGCACTCATGAAACACCATGGAAGAAGTAATGTATCTAATCAGGAACAGCAAAAAACGGAAACAAGATTAAGATATTGCCACTTAATTTCCTAGAAAATAATGTGCCACCAGCTGTGTAAACTTTCCTGTAGCTAAAGCAAATATTCTGATAACAAGCAGGCAGCTGATTTAGACCGAAGTCTGTTTCCTCAGCAGTCAAGCCTCCCAAAGAAAATCTTGAGTTGTCCTCTGACTGGATTTTAAAGATAGCCTAGCACTAAATTCATCTGAAAAGCAGGATTCTGAGCAATCTTTGGTTTTTACGTCCAACTCATTAACTCTGAGCTCCTGCTGGCACACCTCTACGCTCCCTGAAAGTAACACATAAGCAACACAGCGTGCACCGTTCTTCTGACACACCAGACAGACATGTGCAGGCTCCAGCAGCTGGACTCTGCTTTTGTCTCCTGAAGAGAGAGAGAAGGCCTACCTGCTGATTCCAGTCACAGGCACTGTGCATTCTGTAGAGTTTTCTCTTCTGGAAACTGTGAAGTGGCCTCGTTCGGGCAGATGTGCTGACATTAGTCACAGAAAAAGATCTTAGTCTTGTCCTGTCTCTTCTTCTTTTCTTGATGTGCTGATGATCAAGCAACCAGCTGCTTGAAGAGGATACTTCTCTGTTGTCTGAAGCCCTGCAGTTTCATAATTAATGAGAGAGTTAATACAAGTGTTAAATATGCTCCATGTGCACCGGCCAAGATTTCAACCTCTGATTAGCATGAGCCATCTGATTCTAAGAAAACGTGACACACACTGAAGTATTTCAGCACACTGCTTCAGGAAAGCACCTGTGTGTTTTGTTTGCTCTTTGACTAAGTCTGTGTTTCATCACAGAAAGAAATGCACCATTCTTGCTAACTTTTCTAACATTTCTTGTTTTTTCCAAATTCAAGAGCTCTCCCCAGTGCTTCTGATACCTATGAACTTGAAGTTACAACTATTATTTCTCTGCAAACCTACATTCTACACAGTTGTGCTAATACATGGAGACCTAGAATCTTGCCTAAATACTTGGAGATTGCCTGATTTTTTGCTCCTTCAGTTTAACCAATACAATGCCATCAAATGTACTTCGTTTTCCCAGGTATCCCAGCCTTACTTTGTTGCTGCAGCAACATCTGCCTGCAAAGGTAAAGGCGCCCTGCAAAAATCACTCAAGTGTGCATTTAGTTTTGCAATACTGGAGACCTTGACTGCAACTCTGAACTGCCCAAGAAGTGCAAACACATGAGATATCTCAGCCTTGGGTCATAACACGCCATCTTTCTGCAGGAACAATTGTTTTCTCTGCATGAATAGTTATTCCCTTTCATGAACTTTATCTGGTAGGATACAGCTTTATTAGAAAACCTACAACATGCACTAAAACATGAAAATGAATTTATTACAGGGCCGTTTATCAATCTTTTTGAGAAGGAGCTATCTACTAATGGTACATTTTTATTTATTAAGTAGAAGGGCTCACTACGAAAGCTTGATTAAACACCACCCCATGCTGTGGCTGTCGTGGCAACGATGTTTTATTGGCATGAATCTGAACTATTCTTCTGACACATCAAACCCCCAACAAGTGATACACACTCAATGACAAATGTGCTAATTAAAAGAAGAATGGTATGTATGTAGAGGAACACACTAGTAAGTGCCGAGACAGAACCCAAAGCAGTGAAGCATGACATTCTTAATGCAAATGCTGAACTTTACAGCTTGAGAAAGAAATACAATATTGCAGGACCATGCGAAAGTTCCATTAAAGTACCTTGTCCGAATGCTTAAAAACTTCTGTTCTGTTCTTATCTGCCCTGACATCAGGGAGTGCCAAGACCAATTTCTGAACTTCCACTACCACCCTTTTACATGAAAACCATTTGGAAAAGAGTATTAGCACAAAAAGCTCCTCAGTCTCAATTTCTGCAATTGCTGCCTTTGTTCTGGTGTGCTACGTAGGTCACTGATGATCTCTCTGCAACCTTTTCCAGCTGCTCTATTTACCCTCCTGTGCCTTCCAGGAATGCTCAGCTCCTGTTTCAGATGAAGCAGAGTTCTCAGTTCTGTGGTTTGGAGCTGCAATACACAGCAATACCTTTTTCCTGCCACTCATGTAAACAACACTTCCAAGTCAAGGCTGAAGTTATCCATGTATTTAGAGCTTCATGCAGTATAGTTTTCAAAACAGGATTCTACAGAAGAGCAGAGGTCAAATTCCTCTATTTGCTCCTTTCAAAGCTTCTAGGTTGGCCTGTCTTGCACTGCAGACTAGCTGCAGAACAGCGACCTTACAGTATGCATACATGTACTGGAAGCCACAGGACAGGCTCCATTTGTTCTGAACTAAAGATTTTTTTTCCACTCCTCTCTGTTGATAAGGAAGTAATTCTATTAAGGAGCTGCTTCTATGAAGATTTACCTTCATCTGGCTTATCTTTGGATCCAGATTCAATAGAGCAAAGAAAGGCTACATTAAAAAAGAAAACAGGGAAGCCACTAACAAAATCATACCTTGACAAATGGCAATTCAAGTTTACCCACATTTAATCAACCAGGAACTGTACATGTACCACCAATTCCACTGGGAACTCCCAAGTAACCAGCCATACTGCAACCTCCATCGTTACAAAGCTCAAAGCACCTCACGCACAGACTTACTTTAAACATGGACTACATCTTTTGCATCAAGAGCCTACAACAGATTTCAAAAATGTACTAAAGGAAAAATAACAGTTAAAACAGCAATACCATCCCTTCTTTTTCCATCTTCAAAATCCTAAAAATCACCTTACTTTCAAGTTGATTTTGATTTCTACTTTCTAAAATACACAATAAAGTCAGTCAGTGCTCTGGAAAAAGTGAGGGGAGAATTAGCCAAGAAATGAAGTTAACTTCAGCATGTAACTGCTTGATTTAACTGCACACTAAACAAGGACACCAATAAAATACAAAAAGAAATGAAGCACACTCAAAACCACAAGTAGGAGTCAGTGAATTTCCTTTTGGGATTCTAAGGACAACTACTCTATGTTGTGCTTAATTACCACCTTTAATGAGATGTATTTATTCACAGGCTTAGAAACATTTCACAATACAAGAAGTGAAAAATTAAAGTAATTCAACTGATTTTCCAGATAACACGTAGAAAAGTCACAAGCCTCTGAGAGTAGCCCTGCTGAGAAGAACTCAGGGATCCTGATAGATGAAAGACTTAAAATGAGCCAGCAGTGTGTGTCTGCAGCCCAGAAGGCCAGTGGTATCATGGGCTGCATCAGAAGAAGGATGGCAGAAGGGTGAGGGAGGGGACTGCTCCTCTCTGCCCTTGTGAGCCCTGTCTGGAGTACTGCATTCAGGTCTGACACCCCCAGCACAGGAGGAATGTGGAGCTATCAGAGAGGGTCCAGAGGAGGGCAGTGAAGATGATCAGAGGGTTGGAGCACCTCTCTTACGAAGACAGGCTGAAGGGACTAAGCTTGTTCAATCAGAGAAGAGAAGGCTGTGCAGAGACCTCATTATGACCTTCTAGTATTTAAAGGGAAATCACCTTCTTACACAGGTAGACAGCAACAGGACAAGGAGAAACAGCTTTACACTAAAGGAGGGAAGATTTAGATTAGGGAAAGTGGTGAGGTGCTAGCACAGGCTGCCCAGAGAGGATATGGATGTTGTGTTCCCAGAGGTGTCGAAGGCCAGGTTGGATGGCCCTGAGCAACCAGGTCTAGTACTGAATCTAGCTGGAGGCTGGCAGCTCTGCTTGGATGATATATGAAGCTCCCTTCCAATCCAAGCCATTCTGTCATTCTACGATTGTGATTCTTTGATTCCCTCCCAGCAGCTAACTTACCACCTCCAGTTCAGACCTACAGCACTGAGAAAATCCTCCATGTCTTCCCATTCTTCCTTTGGTTGTTACAGAGCACGGGTAGAAAATGACCAGCCTTAGAGAGTGCGCTCCCTGAGCTGCTCCAGCAGCTGTGCTGCTCATAAAAGGGAAAGAGGGCTGATTTTGGATAGTTCCTGACAAATGTCTGATGGAAAGTAAAATGCAGAAGAGCAGTGCCTTGATGTTGCATCATTAGTGTCCCTCATCACGAAGTAAAATTCATTCACATCTAAAAACACTTAAAAAACAGGACTCCTTCCTCGTCCATTGCACAAGAAAGTCACTGAGTCATTTCTAATGGTCTTAATTCTTCTCTTCTTCCACATACCCATCAGGGCAGCTTTTATTCCAGAACTCAGTGGAGTATTCTGATTTTTCCCTGCATTACTTGTAAACAACCACTAGATCAGGAACACAAATGCCACATGACAGGACCTCTTCATCCTCAAATTTAGGGCACAGTCACACAGTCGCTTTGGCAACAGACGGCAGTTAAAAGAAGCTGCCCATCCAAGCTGCTCATTATAATCTCCTCGTGGGAAGCTACAGCTTCTGCAGCAAAGCTGCTGAAAAACAGACGGTGTGACCAGCCCTACATGGAAGTGGGAGCCAGGGAATTACGTGCTGCTGCAGACACTGCCATAAAGCCCCTGGCCCTAATAGTGAACGCCTTCTTCAGCCACTTGATCTTAATCAAGACCTGTGAATAACTCAGCTATGCCCTCATCCCTCCAATCACCTTACCAAGAGAAATATTCCATGTACCCAGGTCTTTTGTAAGATAGGACTGTAAATAATAATCTTAATAGTGTTTTGAGATTAATACAGAAAAGTACCTGCAGGGTATTTTAAAATGAACAAACACAGGATAAAGTTACTAAAACTTATGGCATAGTATTAAGAAATGTTTGCCTACAGCGTTAATTTCAAGCTGCTACATCCTTTCATCCCGGAAAAGTAAGCCCATGAAAGATTAGCTGGCAAAGATTCATTTAGCCTCAAACTGAAGATGTGCAAACTGATGAAGCTATTAGAAATAAACAGACCCTGACCCACGTTGAGGTACAAGTGGCAATGGCACTTGTAATGTAAACAGTAAAACACAATGGCGTGTGTTTTACTAATCCAGTGAAATCTAATTTGTCAGCTTCCTAGTAATTAAGGTGAATCATGATGACAGAATCCACTGAGTCTAAAATATGTAAAAATAGTGTGCAATTTAATGAGTCCTTTCACTACTGCACAGATACATTCTTCATCCCAGGACTTACTTGAGTGGAATTATGGTGCTAGCATTATCTTATGATGTCTTTAAGAAAACAAAAATACACTACAACTTTCCAAGCTCAACTTTGTCACTCTTGAAGCTTACAAAGAGCAGTTCTTTCTTTCTAACCTAATACCATAAGGATTATTTGTTGAATTTATGTAACTTTTCCAATAGTTATTCCCAAAGAAAATAACACCGTACTGTCACCTACCTGAAGGAGATGCCATTGACCAGCTGTCTGTGCCTGCAAGTTTTGGATGAGAGAGAAGAAGCTGGAGACAGGTTGAGCGGAGCAATGAGGCTACTGATGATTTCACTCAGTTGTGCACTCTGGAAAAAATAAAAACACAGAAGGTAGTCAGACTTCTATCCATACTCAACGGCTCCTGGGCTTCTGTTGCGTTCCCACTCAAGATTCCAATCTCATACATCATGGAAGAATCGTATTTAGTCTCTTCTTGTGAATAACCAAGAGCTGCATGTTTATTTTCTTCCACATTATGCTCAGCTATAAAAACAAACAAACAAAAAAACCCACCCCTCAACTACCTGCCAAGGACACCGAATAAATAATACACCAAATAGATCTGTGATTTCGGTACTGCAGCCAAAGATTGTTAGAACAGCAGAAGAAACCAGAACTTTTTACAGCTGATGTTACAACAGCTGCAGCTCAGAAAGCATTTCAACAGGAAAAAAAAAGTCTGCTGTCTACTTATGGCACATTTTGTTCACTCAAAAGTATGCGCTCTTGTTAAGAGAATACTCTTCATTGCTCACGGCAGTAAAAACAACAACAGAAACAAAGAAAAATCCCACAAAGCCACCATTTTTGTTTTATTCTCTATTTTTACAGGAAGACTACTGTAGCTACGGACAGAATGACTAAAATCTTCCAACGACCTCAAAACCACTGCCTTCTAAAATCGCCCCAGAAGAAAGGCAGGTTATTTGGTAAGACCAAGAGCTCCCTACAAAGCACCGAGTTGTGGACTGACTCCAGATAACGTTTCACAATGGTTTTGTTTAAAATGTCAGACCTTCATGGTTATTCTGACAATAAATGCAGCCCGCAGCTTGCTTAGAGGAAACTGCTGTATACTGAACACAAAGGCAATGGATCTGAAATGGCATACATGCTTCTTAAACTTCTTAAATCACTTCGTACGCTTTTCAGTCAGAACTGATTGCTCAAAACAAGAATGGCCAGAGGCTACCCAAGTGACTTCTGCTTGCATTTCTAGGCACTATCGTTTATACAGGGAGAGGCTGAAAAAATTATTTTCCAGTTAATTACAAGTCATGCCTTTTCTGTTAATGTTTAAGTGATGCATTCCGGTCATCGGGTAAAAATTGCAGGACGGAATAAAACATTCAGGGACAGATTTTAAAGCACAGCAATAGCAATTTGGTCATAAAAGATCTACACAAAGCAAACAAGATGTGAGTAACATATTTATCAGATTGATTTCAAAATCTCAACAAGCATTCAATCTGTACGAAGCAAAGACTCCACTGAATGGAAAAGCACCACCATAATGGCAGACATCCAAACTGCAAGGAAAAAATTACACGTTTTTAAGATGTTGCACAGCTACGTAGAGAACTCAAAAACAGTCTTAAAAAAAATAAATAAATAAAAGGAAGGCTCAGTCATTTTGTATTTTACCTTTTTTAAAAACAGATTGAAGAATTCTGTGGGAATGTGTATAGAGATACTTCAGCCTACAGCATGGCTCTTCTCAACATGAAGAAACCCAGACCTTAGGGCCCAGGTTAACTTACAGAACTAATCATCAAAAACCCCAGCAGATCAAATCCCAAAGCTTAGTGCAGTACGAAAGGAAGAAATCTGTGTGAACCCAGAGATGCACTGCAAGAAGAACACCTGCAAGTCATTTTCAGACCATCACATTTCTTGGAGCTCTGTAACTACTTGGGTACCAGTAAACGCACTGCTAGTACTTAATTAGTCAATGTTTTACGAGAAGAAAAGTGTGTTTAATTCTCCAAGTAGTTACTTAGGAGGGGACATTCACCACATTCTAAAAATGCTCTTGGTTTACCTTGTGCAATTGCCAGCACTGTGCATGTAAATTTCCTGTTTCATTGCTTCCTCACTCCTGTCTGTTGTGGCTGAAATCCATCAAACAGGGGAAGCACTTTAAGAACAGGAAAGTATGACTATCAAATAAGAAAAATTGGCACAGAGATTCAGGAACAGGAATGGTAACTAAAGCCACTCTTACTCCATTTAAACAACATGCATATGAGCAAGAATTTACTGTGGCAGAGCAACATATTAATACTTTAGTTAATAGCTTTTGTTAGATTTGCTTTACACTAACTGCAGAAATTAATTCAGGAAACAATGTTCCTGTATCTCCTTGCAATGTGACCCTGCAATATGAAACCTTGCTGGAGTCTACATTGTATTTCCTGGAATTAACCTTGGAAATAACTGGAGCAGCATGAACCCAAACTCCTCTTTACACCTACACTCTGCCTGTGAAATACTTGTAATTCCTCAGCTCCTCACTGGATTGCTATGACACTCAAAAAGCCAGACCAACAATGACACCCAGTTGGAGCTTTTCTACATACCTCCATCCTCAGCTGCAGTCTTTCATCTCACAGAAGTATTTCCTGAAACAATCTGTGGCAACCCTACCCTAAACCTAAGCATAATGAAGAGGCAGGTTTGGGGACAGCTATTAGAAGTGGTTACGTGGCCGCTTTGACGGAAACCAAGTGGTAACACAGACACATCAGGAGTAACAGATTAATTTGTAAACCTGGTGTACAACGTATGTATTTAAACCCTTGAATGCAACAGCACCCACTCTCAGGAGTGCAAAGTAGCTTCTTTTTCAGAAGCATCACCTTGGAACCTGCCCTGTTCCTGCAGTCAATCATTCAGCTCCATCGACTGTTGAGTTCTCATTTTACTTTACCTGTTTCTCTATGTTTCGTAAAAGCAGGGTAGGGCTGCTGGGTGACATTTCAAAGTCATGCTCCGGCAAAGAATCCTGTCTCTCAATGGCAGCTTGCGAATTCCCTGTGGCGTTTAATAAAGCTTCTTGGTCTGTCAACTGTATTTGCTTCTTCAAAATGTCTTTTGGAAATGGGAATTCTTCTAAGATCACCATCCCCTAGACAACAGCAATTGAACACAGTTGGTTGACAACGAATTAACCCTCCTAAACCATGTTTAAGGGGTGGCTGAACCTGGCACCTCCCCCTCAAATCTTCCCAGCTACTCTGGAGCACTTGGACTAGGTTTTAGATACACTCAACAGCTCAAATACAGAAAGAGTCAGTATTTTTATTGATGAAAAACTGCATCATTCATGCTACTCCCTATAACAGCAACCACACTACAGTGTTATACCGCTGCTTAAACATCTGTGCCAAAATTCAAATCAGAAATTCATACTTATTAGAACTACATGCTCGTTTGCCTGCTGTTTTAAGAGGTTTTTCTGCAAAAACAACCACTCTTTGAAGTTGATTATACTTTTTGCATCCAATACATTTCTCTGAAGCATTTTAAAGTGTTCTTTTTTTTCTTATTCTTATCCATGCTCTAAACAAACATTAAGGTTTCAAGAGAAGGACACAAATCAAAACAAAAGCCTTTCATACTTTAAGAATTGATTTTTAAGGTGAGCATTTTTAGAGCTTTGGAATTACAGAGGCAGTGATCCTAAATGTTCTAGCAATCTCATCACTTTTGCAGGCAATCTGCACAAATCCAATGGGAGACACAACTTATCATCTGCCCAGTAAGACAGCTGCAACTTCATTTGGTAGGGAACCAAAAGTTTCAGAAACTAAACTGGGAAAAGAATAATGCCACTGTGCTTTTCACATGACAGATAAGAAAATTCCAAGTGTCAGCCATATTCCCAGGTAACATCTCCGTTGGTTTGCTTCAGCAAACTTAAAACATGAACAGTAAGCAAAAAGAACTCTGAAACAGCCAACAACAGTTCCTCTGGCAGCCCCCTGCTTTGTTACTGTCTTGAGAAATAATTCCAATACGTAGAAACAGCTATGCTGCCTCTGCAGGCATTACCCAAAGAGATTGGGCTCCCTCGATTATTCTGCTTCCAATTTGTCCTTCTGGTGAGACCATTCCACCAAAAGGCAGGGGAAGACCATCATTACATGAACGCACCATTTCTTTTAGAAGGACAGACTTCACCTGGGACACGTTTGTTGAACATTAAAGCTCCTGCAGTTTTACTCACACCTTGCACTCCTACCTCAGCAACAACTTGCTCCAAATCAAAAGCAATGTTGAAAGAGGCTTCAAAGAAGAGACTAGGAGAAAATGTAAAGTGGACCTGCTATCCTTGCATCTCTAACTTATTCCTCTGTTTCAATTCAAAGCTGACAATAAATATACTCTAAAAGCAAACCCAGGTGCTTAAAAACTTGTATCCAAGCTCAAAACACCCATGGAGATTCTGGATTTCCGTCAGGTCAACATGAGATTTTCCACATTCACTGTTAGGCAGTAGCCCACCATCTGTGCTTTTCAATTTCTGGCAGATGGAAGCAAATGCAGACAGTATCATACTGTAATCTGCAGACCACAGCAGTTACGCTCAAGGAAGTTCAAGGATAGCCTTAATTTTAATGAGCCACAGGACAAAGCAGCCCAATAGCTTTAGAACAAAAGACAGCAAAATAAATAAACAAACAATAAATCACAGGTCAGCATGGAAAGAGGGAAAAAGTAACCCACAGCAGTCTGAAACACAAACTCTGATATGAGAGGAAGCACACAGGAAACTCAAAGAGAGAACCCCCCACAGCTATTTCCACTGGAATTTTGTTTTTTTAAAGCTGCAAAATCCCAGTGACAAGCATGGAAAGCAGAAAGCAGAAAAGTAAATTGAAGAACAGTATGAAAAGGAGTAGACAGAAATAGGTACATAAGAAAAGATAAATGAGGAACAGGAAAGGATTAGGAGTCTAACGCTGGCTATAAAGGAATTCTAACACTGGTCACAACCAGTAGGTTTTGGCAAGCAACTCCAACTAAATCTTATTGTTTTATTTGGCAGATTTTCTAAATGGATGGACTCAGAGCTCCAGAGCCACTACTTCTATGCATACAAGGATGCAGCAGACACAACAGAGAAGGCCAGGAAACCTGGTAAGTTAACTATCTCCCTTCCTATTGTGTTCTGCTGTTAGAGGAGTGATACTCTGCTTGAGTTATTGTTGACTGGCTATGAATCACATTTTTTCCCACTCAAAACACAAAGAAGACACTTTAAAACTATTAAGCAGCATACAAACTCCAATGATATTGTGTAACTACTCTGTAGCCACTAAATCAAAACAAAGAGCTCTTCTGTCAGTCCACATGACCTTCCATAACTGCTGCACCAGTATGCTATGAACATGTAAACAAAAAAAGAAAGGAAGAAAAAAAAAAAATCAGAGCCAAAGAGTGTTTGTCTACCTTCTGTATGGGACACAATGCCAAATACCTAACAGCACAGCTGGTAAAAGGGGCATGAAGTTTGCAAAAAGGAATGTTACTAAAGATCTCCAGCAGGAAGAAGGCTAGGCTCTGAGCCAACGTGCCACCTAATGCGAAGAAAATGCATGACTGAAAGAATGCTCTCTCGTTTCTCTGTTATTTATTTCTCACTGTTCTGCAGCCCTTGGGACCCATGCCATCTTAAAGTCTGATTCTGGGCATGTTGGAGTGTGAGTATTTGGTATTCTGGACATTATTACAATATGGACATTCTCACCGTTCAGCAAAGTACAAAATCTCCTTTTGCCTCTATGGGCAGAAAGGCAGGAAAGACCCTCAAATAGAGGTTCTTCAAATATTTTCTTTCTTAAGGAAAAATGTGACCGTGGAGACAAAGTTGGATATGTGAAGATGGATTTTGAGAGCTATAAATAGAGAGGAAATAATAATCCTTTATGTGATCAGAAGGAAATGCTCTCTAGCACAATTTCCTTTCTTTCTCTTCCTTTCCTCTTCAGCATGATTTCATGATTTCCCTCCTTTCTCTTCCTTTCCTCCCTCCAAATCTCATGTTCAGTCACATAAAACCTAAAGCATCTCCTGGCTCCTCTCTATCTGGGCTTATCTGACCATAGCATAGATCACACAACTTTTATGTGGCTCATTAATGATGAGTCCAGAAGCCCTACTCTACAACCTGTTACTATCACACCACCAGAATTATCACAGGTTTTGGCTTCTTGTGTGTGAGACCGACCTGGACAAGCCATTACATTGATAGATAGATAGATTATTAATGTTTCAGGAATGTGACTTTACCACTGTCTAGCCAGTTTGATTTACAAAAGCTAGCACATGAGTTATACACGTTGGAATTTTAGTAATAATTAATCCTTGACCTGTTCAAAGTGCTGTACAAACATTAACTAACTAATCCTTAGAATAAGCATGCACTGTAAATAACAGAAAAAGCCCCCAGACGCCCACGATGCAAAAATGAAAAGCCAAACACCCCTCCCAAAAACAAATCTTCTTCCATAGAGGAAAAAAATAGTGGGATAAATGACATGGCTTGTTCCAGGGCCCTGAAAGTCACTAACAAAGTCCCCAACTACTACAGATAGGAAGGTAAGAGTCCCTGATTCTCAGTCCTGTATTGATGCCTCAAGGGTACAATACTTTTTACCTTTTGATGTCTTTCCTATCAACCTCTGTGTGCAATAGTCTGCTTATATACAAGAATTCCAGGGCAAAACAAACAACAACAATGAGGAATCAAAGAAATAAACATTACAAGAAACACTATTAAAAAAAAAGAATCAAAAAGCCCATTTATGAGCTAACAGACAATACCTTGGTGGCACGTATCTGCCTGTGAAGGTCAGTTAGTTGCTGGATTTTGTATTCTAGTTCTGAAATCTGGGCTTGAAGCCATGTCCAACGGCTGCCAATTCTAGCTCTGTCTGCAAGCCACTTCCATTCAGAAGTATAGCTGCTGTGAAGACAAAATGCTGGTTAGTCCAAAAATAAAGATAACCACATTTGCACAAGAACATTTTTGACAGCTGCTCTGCCTCGTGGTGCAAGCGTCTCAGTTGCTTTCAGAAGAAACCCATCCAGTTTCACATCAGCTGCTCTCTGTAACTGCAGAACTTGCTCAAACCAGTACAATGTTCACAGACCATTCCCAGGCAAGGCTACTTTCCTGTTAACACGTTATAAACCCAAACCTGACAAAACTACTGAATTATATCAGGTTAATACAGTTTACAGATCTGCACAGAATTCCAGTACCCCACCAGCCAGAACTCAAATCTGTCTGCTGTTCCTCCCACAAGCTTCCAGGAATATCGTTTGCTAACAATTGTAATCTAATAAGACATCACCCAGCAGTGACCAGCCAGGTTTCCAGTTACTGCACCAAAAATAAAGACTTAGTTTATTTTATTCAAGTTACTTGATAAACAGAACTGGGTAAGCGTAGTACAGCTAGATCAAAACTCTTACTGCTGCTAACAAACAGGTGGGTGTTGCAACAGAGGACTGACATCACACTAAACTCATCCCTGCTACCAGAAAACTTAACTCAAACTACATATTAAAGAAATGAATGGTGTAATGGTACCACCCAATACATCCTTTGAATGGTCGGGTAAATTCAAACAGAGACAACTATTTCAAGAAAATGGCTGGTGTATTTTCCCCATCAGAGCTGTTAAACAGTCTGGCAGAACTAAATGATTGTGAAAGAACTCCTACTGGAAAAGAAGTGCTTCAAATCCAACAAGTTATTGGGATAAACTGGTTGGTCTGAACCGAGCTGCAAGACACTACACAGCAAGTTTTACATAGGCTGACTACGTGAGTCCTCGTTCCCCTGCCAATAAAGAACATGGAAGTATCACAAAAGAAACAAAAAAAGACAAACACCAGAATCCAGAAGCAGGTTCTTATAGGAGCACTGCACATCTTCATGCAGAACTGTGTGCTGACTATCTCAACCATGAATTCTGATATTTTCATGCAAAAGGGTACAAAACTTTACTCAAAATCTCTGAATCTTCAGTCTCCTTCAGCTGCCGTAAGTAGGAACAGCAGATACAGCCTTTGGTAGATTACATTTAAAATATATAATTTTCCACCTTTTACTACTAATTGTCTTTCAATTTGTCCCCACATCTTAATCAGAAAATAACTTAAACAGAAAATAACACGAAAGCAGGACAATAAGAAGACCAGGTGCAAGAATGTAGATCACATTGATGCTGGATGGAACAGTCTCTGGTGAAGGGTATATTCTAAAACAGACCACGGAGAGGGGTGTAGATGAGAAGCCAAAAACCCCAACACCTGCCCACACAGCTGGGAAACGAAAGGGAATGAGAAGGACTGCAGGTGGCCATACGTCACATACATGGTATGAAATCAGAGTGTGTGGGAATCCATACTCAGATAGCCAGCCCACAACAGAACAACCATTCTGCCAACCTGAAGATGAAGAAATCCTATCTGTACATTATTAAAAAAATCCTCTCCAGAGTTGCATCACGAGTTATTTTTCAAATACGTGTTTACATAGGGTTTTTTTGTCTCCAGCACAACATTAAATCTTGAATTAACTGCATGTGCTGTTAAATACATTATGTAAATGTTTTTCCTGCTTTCTAGCATACTACGTATTTCTTACGGCCTTAAAGTAAAAGTATGTATGTAATTAAACTCTGCTAGTTTAATTGCTCTGTAATAACAATGTCCTTAGGCTCCTCTGGAAGGACGGCTTCCCACCAAACTAAGCACAGACGTTCCCAGACCAGGCTCACACCAAAGGAAGTGATTTCAGCCTCTCTTCCCTGCCTGCACCTCTGCCACCCCATGCCCAGTGTCAGTGCAAAATATTAGGGTAACCCAACAAAATTTTTTAATTGATAAGTCTCTAATTCCTATTACTTTGTAAGGCACAGCCCAACATTCACTCAGTAAATAGATGAGGCAACAAGTACTTGTGGGGCATTGGTGACTGGAAAATAGGCAACATCACATGCATTTTTAAGAAGGGTAAAAAGGATGAGTCTGGGAACTATTGACCTGTCAGTCTCACGTCTGTGCCAGGAAAGATCATGGAGCAGATCCTTCTGGAAGGAGCGTCCATTCCAGGGATGGAACACCTCTCCTACAAGGACAGGCTGAGAGCTGGGGCTGTTCAGCACAGAGAAGACAAGGCCTGGAGGCTTTCAAGGCAAGGCTGGATCCCTGGGAAACCTGATCTAGCAGTGTTGTCCCTCTTCATTGCAGGGGAGTTAGAGGAGATGACCTGTAAAGGTCCCTTCCAACTCTAAGAATTCTGTGATTCTGTGATATTTTTATGAACAGGAGATGATTACTGAATGCTTTTCACACACTATGACAATGAAGCACTAGCGTCCTTCTATCACTTTGTAGATTTAGTGGATGGAGAACACTGTTTTAAGATGGTACCAGTGAACTCATTAATACTGCAAACACAGAGAAGGAAAACAAGCCCACAAAGGTTACAAACATCACAAGGACTTGTAGTGAAGGAGGAAGTCAGGCAGGAGCTACAGTAGAACAGCTAGGATTGAGACAAGAAAAAAAGGGGCTGTCCCATTTCCTGCGTGCAGAGCATCTCAACTTGGTTTGCATGCCTTTGACATCATACATCCCTCACAGGAATTCTGAATTCTGCCAGCAGTTCAATACATGCATCACATTTCCAAAAGCTTCTAAGGTCAGTGCCGGAGTACAGTGAAGTATTTATCTGCGTATAAATGTCCTGCTCACGGGATGACTCTGGATCTGGAGGTGATCTCCTGCATTCCTTCAGGGCCACGAGAATAGGAAGAAACAGGGTAATACTCATTTTGCAGAAATAAAGCATCTCATGTGAATTTCCCTAGAAAAACAAGCTGGAATTGAATCAGAGGTATCATCTGTGGCTGGCATTTCTGCTGTTTTGGTTGAACTGCAGGAGGTCAATCCTGCCCAACTTGCAACACAAGGACACGCAGTAGAACAAATCACGGAGAGAACAGGCACAAATGCAGAAAGACAAACTATGATCAAAGATGTAACTCTGAAGTTGTAATGCACCACCCCAGTAAGATTGAACAGGCAACTGATGAGCACTAAGCAACACTATCAGTAGAACTGAAAAAAGTTGTTAGTTGTGATCTATAGACAGAATATATGGAGGAATTCTCCATGCTATGAGTCCTTCCTCTCAGCTCCTTACAAACCTCAACTCTCCTCCCTTTCTCCCAAAAAAAAGGAATGAGAGACAAGAACAGATGATGTGTTTGCATAAGCAGACCAACACTGCAAAAAAGCAACAGGACTTTGAGAAGTGTCTTGTTCTACCAGAGCCTCCATGAAGATGAAGGTGAGATTTGTTTTCCAGCAGAGAAGATCAGTCTGTCACAAAGAACAAACCTGGGCAACCTGAGTGCAAAGAGGACATAGCCAGAACAACACTGCTGTGCTGGGCACACACTGCTGTTTGAGTATCGCATGGTTTTGGTTTCAGGTTGTTGGGCTTTTTTTTGTTATTTACAGGGAAGAAAAAGGGTTGGAATTTAAATCTCTTAGATGTGTTTTATTTTTACAAGCAAACAAAATAAGGAGCCTGAGTAACAGCTCATAACTAATGAAAGGTAACATAGTGATGTCTTAAATGCACAAAAACCCATAGAATCCGGGATTGATAGTTAAGTTCCACATGTATGTTACATCTGAGAATTAACATGAAATGGAGCCTGCTAGCCTCGTGCTTTTGAGTGAGAACATAAAACGTGCCCCTGCCATGACATGCCTGCAGGGACACTGACAGGATGCTTCCTGCTGAACAGGAAAGGAGGATGCTTGCAGCAGACCCACACCATGACTCCAGAACTTGCCAACCCACAGTACAGTCTCCTTCCTAAAGCTTTGTTCCAAAGAAAATCAGAATTTTCAAGTTACAACATTCTTTGACAAGGACAAGATAGGGAGCAAGGCATTCACATTGCGTGAGTGGGAGTAACTCCAACTCAAAAATTCTTCATTAAACATAAGAATGGCAGCTGCTCCTGACACTTGTATTTCCACTTGTGCTTTCTATCATGCCATGCCCCCTTCAATTTATTCCCACGTTGTTCTGGTATCAAGTTTGCAGGTGATTTAGTCCCAGAGCAATGCAGTGATCCTGACTGCAGCCATGCCTGCTGCTTCTCCTCTAGTGGCAACTCCTGTGCTACCAGACACTCAATGCCAATCATGTGACACTGACGTATATAGGAGAAAGGATCAGCTCATCAACTGCAGATTAATTATCCTCAGGATAAACAGCTCATCACCTTCCTTGGAGGGAGTCAATGAAAACAACAGTAGAAGTTCATCACTTCGATGAAAGACTTGAGTCTGGAAATCGAAAAACAAACCATCAAAATATTCTCCTGATCCTTAAATCCTATCCAGACGTCGTGTGACTCATGATGAAATACATGAGACACAACACACACTGGAAATAATCATACATCTCCTGACTCTCCTGGGACAGCTCACTCAATTGTACAAAACCCCCAAACATTTCACGTTCCCCACATGGCACAGTCTGACCAGAGCTCAGCAGCACTCTGGTGCTCTGCGTGTCCAACTATGAAACGACCTGCACAAGCTTTCTCAAGGTCTAATTCTTCCAGCACGCCTACTTCATGTTTATTTTCAGAGAGAACTAACTTCAGTTGCTGTTGAAGTATTAACTCCCCTCGACCAGTTCACTGCTAGACCCATAATAACCACATAACTGAAAAAGCAGCAAGTGCTGCTTCATGAACAACATCTCTTCCACGCATTCCAGAGTGTAAACAAGACTCAAACAAATGGCAACAAATAGAATCCTCTGGTATCACAGCCAAGCAGTGCTACACAACAGAACACTGCTCACCCTGACAGCTCAAAGTAAGCCTCCGCTCAGATCGCACGGGAGCAGTCACTGCAGACTGAGTGTGGAGAGCAATACCCAACTGTTTTGTGAGAGCTGGCACCAAACCAGGCTAGAATATCATTGAGGAGGCTCTCTGGTACTCAAGAGTTACACCAAAATCTCTGCCAACGCCTGCTATCGGCTCATTCGGGCTTGTTATCTTCTTCAGTGTTCATTGGGAGTTTTACCTGGCAGAGATTTTCCCCTGAAACACTACACGGCTTCAGAGCAGATGGGCGCCAGCCCTCCCTGTCATCTACGGACATCAGCAACTGCTTATCGTAACGCCTGGCACCCACACCTGGTCCCACCATCCCTGACATGCCGTTGCCATTTGATACTTTCAGAACTGCACCCAATGACATGTGTTGATACTAATTCATAACACGTATCTTGCCTTCCCTAACTGGAAACCTTCATCCAGGTGAAGTCAAACGAGTCCTCAGGCCCCAGGATTTCAAGCAATAATTCCTAAAGTTATCAGTCACAATCAGCTGTAGAAGATAACTGAAAATATAAAGAACGGAAAATTTCTCTGTGTGAACACAGTAGAAGACATTTAATAAGAGTTTGATGCTGAAGCTCTGTATGCTCCCCTATCTGAGAAATTACATCTTCTGATCTGAGGAAATGCCATGGCCACTATTTGACAGCTATGGGGCTCCTGCACCCAATCATTACTGTAGGTTTTACAATAGAGACAATACAGTTGTTACACTTGCACTGAATTGTTCGTCCAGGGCTCAGCAAAGGCAACAAATTCAGCGTGGTAAAGCACTGCTGTCTGAGCTCCAGCAGTTCAAAGCAGTTCTGGTAGGTGTTTTTCCTCTTCAGTTCTGTTTATGTCATCCTTAACAGATGTTAATGATAAAAGGCCAACCTGGCTGGTGGAGGCGCAGTCAGTTAGAATATTAACTGCTCAAAAAGAAAAACCCGCAAAAAGAAAACAATCAGCACCCTTTCACCTTTTAACAGTAATAAAAACCCCTGCAGAATGCAAATCTGCAAATGTTACTTGCTCAAAACATTTTAACATGTTTGTCAGTTTCCATCAGCTGCCCAGGCACTTCAGCTTCCTTCACATAATTTCACTCAAAGCAGCACGAAGCAGAGCAGCAGGCAGCGCTAACGTGCAAAGGCAATGAAAAATAAAAACAAACCAGCTCAGGAATATCAGGGCTGCCTGGAAACAGGTTTTCTTGCCTTTGAAATGGCACATCAATAGACTAACAACAAAACGCTGGGAACACGAGCCTAGAAATCCCCTGTAAGCATTACACAACTGCCCTTGAAAAGAGAGCTCAAGAAAGCAACGCTATGTTTGCATCCCACGACCAACATAAAGTAAGACAGAGCTTACAATATAAGCCTTTAAAGATACGTGCAGTGGAACGTTACAGCATACAAGCAGCGCTGTCAGTGCTGCCCTGCCACCCCTGAAGCTGGGCCCCAGACTTGCACCTACACTCTCAGGAAGAAGTAGGCAGGGGCTGCGTGCCCGTAGCACCAACTCTGCTTTGTAAGTGCGTGCAGTAGCAGGGACTGCAGGGACAAGGGGCCAACAGCCATAAATGTGTGGTTGAACAGGACAGCCTTCCCGGTTTGGGTGTTTGGTAGAAGCCTGGCATGGAGTTCTGCTGAATTCCATTGTTACCCTGCCCACCCTCTGGCTGAGAGGAGGAGGAGGTTGCAGAGCATCCATCTCCATACATGCCTGCGTTTATACTTCTTTCAATGGCAGATGCAATAATTGGAAGTTTGTTAATTGGAACTATATTAATTTTAATTTGTAGCACAGTACTCTCTTGCCCACAGCAGGTAGCTAAACTGTTTGGTTGAAAATAATTCACAGTTATTTCAGTTCTAATTAAAAAAGAAAAAAAAAAAAACAGAAGACAGGTCAGTATGTTTAAATCTGATATCTTAAGTTACATTCCTCACCCATATTTAGCAGTATGAATGAAAGCCCATTACAGGAGAGCATTCCTATTTTGGGAAGCCCTTAAGCACACTTTTTATTTCATGTGAAAAGGAAAGCACTTAAATGATTTCCTGTCTCAAGGCCCATGTATGCAGACTTTCACGGGATCCGGCTGCGTCCCTTTGAAGTAGATTCTTAAGGAATCAGTTACCTGCAAAACGCAATCGTAACGCCCTCACTTTTCAAGATGTTACACACACGCTTTCTGGTTGATTGTAAACAAATCTTTCCATGAAAACAAATTTCACAGCTTAGCAGAAGGATAAAAGCTGGCTGTAAAACCCAGCTTAAAGAGCAGATCTCATCAGGCACCAAGTGCTTCGGCATCTACCATGTCATTAAGTGTGTGAGCTTATCATGTATATACATGTGTCTAATTATTAGAGTCTCTATTCTACTATGCTGTGTTGACAGTGCATTAAACTGTCATTTGGAAGAATACCGCCAAGTTTTTATTTCATGTGCATTCAACACTTATTTAATTCAGAAGCTCTGCCATTCCCAGCTCTGAGGCTCTCTTGCACGTTACAACTTGTCCAACTTGCTGCCTTTCCTCACAACCTTCCAGTTGGCTTTCAGCAGCTGCAGAAATTACTGATGTAATTACAGGTTAGAAATCAGGATCCTCATTCACAACAGCGTTGCTCTGGTATTGCAAGAAGGAAGTCTTGCTCAAAACCAAGTCCTTGTTGCTGTGTATCAGATATCTACAGAGAAAACAGGACATGCACTGTGACCCTAAAGAAGCTGTCGATCTCCCTTACAGAAATCCCATCAAGTGAGGTCGAATATATTCTGAAATAACACTTGCATCCCTCGAATGAAAACAGAAGGTAACATAGAGCAAGTTTTTCTATGATTCCCTGCACACAATTCTCCTCCCACATGCAGTGAGGGGAGCCAAGAATCCAGGGAATGGAATTCATGAAAAAGCAATGCCTAAAACTTGTTAAAATCAGCACCTATGAATTCACACGTCTTTAAAGGTCGTCACACTAATCTTTTATGCAAATAAGACATTTCCCTTACTCATATAACAAAAAGGTCTTAAAAACTAGAAACAGTTAGGGTTTTGTGGCTAAGAGCAATGGAGAACAGCACTGCTGGCAGACTCTCTTCCTCCCTTTCTCAAAACCTGAATTCGGTTCTCTTATCAGCTTTGAAATGAAATTACAGCTCAGAGTGGAAAATTAGGACTTCTTGCAAAAACGAACAGTTTCTCCTCATAATGTGGCTGAAAGATGGGCAAAAAGCCCCAGCCCCCAAGCAGTGCCTTCTGTTGTGAGGCCTGCAGAACTGCACTGACATTGCTCAATTAGCCATGAGAAAAACTGCTAGGAAAACTGGAAAATAATCTAGAACAAACAGATCCGAACTGCAGATACTAATCATAATATTTTCTTCCTTCTTCTATTCTCTCCGCCTTATTGCTTCCCTCCCTGCCAAGTATTTATACTAAAAGCAGATTTCTAATCTTTCTCTTCCCAACTAGAAATCTAAGGGAGAAAAAAAAGACTAAGTCTTTTTTTTTTTCCCTTCATATCTCTTCACATTCATTATAAAAGATTCCAGGCACAATAAAGCCCACGGGCATGGAAAAATACAGCAGCGCTTCAAATACTACTTCGTCAGGCATGAGGTTGCTGGAAGATAATCAGTAAAATGTGTCTTTCAAAGTTCAGAGGAAAAGCATGAAAATATTTCTGAAGGAAAAAATCCCACCAAGTGATGCAAAAGGGTTTCATTCAGATGGGGGAAGGAGGATTGGAGAAACAGGGCCCAGGACTTGTCGCAAGTAGGCAGATAGCAACTTGTTTTGCACACAAGTTCTGTTGTAAGAAGCCTTTCTCTCTAATCAATTAGGTACAGACGTTGCTATTTGATGAAGTGAGCAGCTGTGTCTTTAAAGAAAGCCAGTGATAGATCTTCTGATTTTGGAAGATCACTCAGTGCATTTGGAAGGAAAAAAAAAAAACAACAGTCAGTACTGTGAAAGTGTAAAAGTTTCCCAAATAACCACATCTGGCTTTTTTGTGGTATGTTGTGAACAGTCAGAACCTCTAGGCACATCAGGAACGCACAGGAAATACAATAAGGATGCAAGGCTGCCCCAGAAAGAAATGTTACCTAGCTCCCTGAGCAGAGGTGTGCTGTTGAAAATACTTGAAGTTGACATCCCCCCAAAAGTCATCCCATTTGACATTATTTCTACAGGTAATCTTTCATCTTCATGAACCTCAAAGGAAGACCAAGCAGTTCCAACTGGAATGCAGTGTTGTCTGCACTGCACTTCAGGTGATGCATGTGGGCAGTGAATTCCCAAGGGAACTGCTGACACCCAGCTCTGTGACATCTCAGTGGGTCCTGCATTCACTTTGGTACTTTGGTTATCATACCTAACACAGAGACAGTGACTGGCACCTGAGTTCTGTCTTAATTAAAGCAGGAAGAAGTACCACCATATATCTTCAACATAGCATCTCGAGGGACTTCTCACCCTCGAGGAAGGAATGGTACAAGAAAATACTAGAGGATGCTTATGAAAGTTTGCTACACTGCCAAAGAAACCTTTCACAAAAGCTGTGATGAGCTGAAGACATTGCTGAGCTGTACACCAGAAGCAAGATGTCAGAACTCCTGCAATGAGCCAACCATTCCTTCACGCTTCTCCTTGACAAATACTCAAAGAACAAATGTGTTTTGATGAAGAAATGGAACAGGGCTTTTCGATTACTCTAGAAATCAGAGCACAGTGACTCGCCAACCAAAACAGCTCTCTGCCCATGAGCACACTGAAGATCCCTAGTCTGAGGACAGCACCTGTGTAATGCACAGGGGATGAACAATGGTGTAAGTATCCTGTAACAGCTATTTGCAACTGAACAACATGGGTACTGAAATAGATGGATAAAGAGAATCTGACTTGAGTCACAGAGCATTGAGATACAGCTCAGAAGAGCTTATGTCAACACTCACTGGACAAAACTCTTTCCAGGATAATGGGAATGAACGTGTTCAAAGAGCTAAAAGTAGCTCCAGATTTTTTTCTTATCGTGAAAAACTGGGGCTGGAATCAGATCTTCCCCCTCCTGTAATGGAAGCAGGCTGGGCTCAGATAAACCTATGAATGGGAAGCTCCTCCCCCCTTGCACACTGGGTTGATGTAGCAAGCTACGAAGGATGCAGCTAAGGCCAGCCACTTGCACGTTCATTTCCTCGAGTTAAGTGCAATCCATATTTTGTGATACAGGTGGAACCCAAAGATTTTCCCCATTCACAGTGCACTAGTAGGGCCTTTTAACATCTAGAATATTACGGGAGGAGGAGTGCTTCCACAACAGTGAAAGTCTTCACTATGAGAAATAACAGTGCAAAGCGAGGAAATGAGCATTCTCTCACCATATAATCACATTATTTCTGGAAAGCACTAAGAACCAATTCCCTGGGAGAGAAAAGCATTTCAAAGCAACATAAATCCACTTAGCAAAAATAAAAATGGAAGCTAACTTTGTTTTGTTTTCTTGTCCAGCTGAAAGGCAATCTAGAGAATCTTAAAGAGGTAATGCAGAAATAAAAGCAAATCTCAGCAGCCGCCCAGCTGAACAACTGACAGACCTTTGCCACCCAAAGGAAGTGCAGTCTCTAGCCACTAAGACAAATCTTTCGGAAGATGGAGAACAAAGAAAGCCATCCCAAGCATAAGATAGTGATAAGTTCAGATGAGATACAGCCCATCCCCAGTGCAGTGTTAATTCAGGCACTGACTCAACCTATGCACACAGACAAAAGTCTCCAGCTTAAATTAGGTGGTGCTTTAACTCTGCACTTGCTGGTCCAGCAGCACAGTTCAAACGCAGTGACTTTCATGCTGGCAAGGCAGCAAAGCCTCTGCTAACACACACTACCAACAAGCCATCGCTGCTGCTTGACTGCTTTTAACCATAAGAACATAAAAAAGAGAGGGGGGGAAAAGAAAGGAGTTTGCACTGAGTAAGAGACACCTAGCAGGTCTCCTGCCTCCTAGCAGCAGCCAAGGTAACAGTCTTGCAACGGGGCAACACAGAGCTAAGTTTCTCCAGAATATTCCCCCGCCTTCCAGGCAGCCTGGGGATTTCCCAAGCCAAAGGTGGTGCTGTGTCCTCAATAATGCTCTGTGGACTTTTCTGTTAGCACAACAAAACAAACTGAATAACCCCTACATGGAAAGATAACTTCACTAATTTGAAGGCTACAAGAAGAAATAAAGCTGGAGGACTGGCAGTATGACAAACTGGACTGTCCCTTGCAAGAGGAAAAGAGACAACCCTCACACCGAACTTCAATCCAAGTTTCAGATTATCAGCTACCCTCAGAGAATCAGAATTTCACATCAATTTTCCCTGCTCAGTTCATGTAAGAACAAGATAAGAATCCTGGAGGGAAAGGTGTTACTCAGAAGTTCAAACGTATCAGCCAGGAGAGGAACGTTCCATCTCCAACACTGTTAGGAGCTAGAGATGCTGGTTCTTCATTAGAATATTTCAAAAGGAGAAAAGTATTTTTGCAGACTAAAATATTTGAGTTGATGGTAACAGCTGGCAACACATAATGCTCTGGGCTGGTCTCTGATGTGGTGTTTACCATTCTGACAATATGCAAAAGAAAATGAAAAACTCTCCTCCTGTTTTCCAGCTCTACAGAGTTCAACCAACTGCAGCAGTGATTTGACAGAACCACGTTGCACTCAAGCTTTCATAACAGAAGCTGTAAACACATAACATGGCACAGCTGTTTAATGGAAGATGAGGCTTCCTTGACTTGTTCTGAACACTGTGCTGTTGAAGAAAGAGACTACGATTTGTGTTTGTTTTTTTTTTAATATTTATTTTTCCATCCATACTAGTGTCACTCGGTGCTTTTCAGAAAGTCCCCGAAAGCAGGGACTGTATTAGGAGATGAGGAAAACAAAAACAGTCTTGACATCAAGCACTAGAGATGCTGCTGCTATAAAGTCATCTTTACAGACCTTCGGAGGTGCTCCTCCTCCTCTTCACCTGCCCGAAACGGAAAGAAGCTGTGCTTTCAATGCTTTCTACAATTTCTCAACAGGAGATACTGTGTTGACAGCATAGTCAAATAAGAAATAACAAAATAAGAGGCTGTATTTCCATCACCATTCCTGGGACAATTTTACAGCCCACTTGTCTTAGCCATGGCCGATTCACAAAGCTATGATAATGTGTATTGACAGGTTCTCTGACAATGTAAGAGACACACAGAACTGCAGTATTAGCTAATTGTATTAGCTTTGCTCTGGTACTTCTTGAAAAAGATACCAGAAACAACAAAAACGATCCCTCAAATTTCAAAACAACAAAGAACAACTGATCAAGTAAATCAGCATTTAAAAATTATAGTTCAAAGCAGAAGACTTTTTCAATATACATCCCTCAAATACAGATTGGCATCTGCACTGATGCTTATACTTAATCACCTAATAATGGATTTCAAGACTGTAACATTGACTATCTCTCCATAATTTAGTTTGATACTAGCCACAAGTATCGTTTACTGCACTGCTATCACTACCTATTGTGATTTACAGCATAATCCAAGTATTGAATGATCAGCAGTGTTAACGTGATGCACGCTTGATTCAGCACAGTACAACATCCCACTCTGCAGTAACATAACTGCTGCTTAAGCCCCGTACAGTTAAAAGTTCTTACTTTCTGCGTGGATCCTGCCAAGCCTAGCTCACATAGGCAGTCCTGCTGATTTCAGGAGGACTACCTACAGAGCAAGGTTACTTAGACAAGAAGGAATTTGCAGGTCTACACCCCTCCAGCTTGATTTATAAGCATGAAGCACATGAGTCTAAGCAGGAATTTAACACTTACGCTTCCACAGCTGTTCTTACAGTCTGTTCATCATAGTCTTCATCTGAGCTGCTACACGTTGCATCGGAGTCCAGATCCTTTTCCACACGAGACAGCAGCCCTCCAGCAGAAAGCGCAAACCCCCGGATTTCCCCCGGTGCAACACAAACTCCATTCTGTACATCCGCACTCGAACTACTTTCCAAAGTAGCTGCAGTGTTTTCTGGCCAACCTTCCGCACACCTGAGGGAGCTACTGCTCGAAAACCTGCCTGGCTTGTGTAAAACCTTCATTCTTTGAAGCTGATGTTTTACGAAGCACTTCAGCTGCTGATCACAGTGTTTGATAACATGCTTTGCCAGGAGCATTTGTAAACGTTTCTGAGTTCTTTTGGCGCGGCTGATCTCCATTTGTTGCTTAGTGACACACTGGAGTAAGCGAGCATACATCTCCTCCCGGGTGCAGCTCAAAATCCCTTCTGAAGGCCCGTGAAGAATTTGGTGTAATAAATCCCCTTTTATTGTTTCAGCGCAGACTCCCAGAGCCCTACCCAAAAAACCATTCTTCTTGTACCACTTATCATTTAAGAGCCGCATTTCTTCTGCGTTGCCGGATTCAGTTACATTTGAATCCAAAAGTCTTTGCGTTTCTGCCAAATTTGGAGATGTGGTCTCAGAAAAAGCTTCCCCTTTGACCTGTTCCTCAGGTCCTGAATGACTGATCTGACCAAAAGATGCGTCGGTGCCATTATGCAATGCATTTCTCATCCTGGAGCAGTCAGGCTCTCCCGATTTCATTTGCTTACCGGTTTTGCTGCTAAACGCAGAATTCGTACTCATTAACAAGACAGACTGATAGTGCTTGGAGGATGGTGGGGAAGCAAAATGCTGCACACTGAAGATATTATTCCTGAGGCTGGGCTCAGCAGTGGGGAACCCCAGGACTGAGCAAGTAATCCGTGCGATGGAGTCCTCTTTTATCTTCTCTTCCACCGCTCTGGAATTTTCCATGCACAAAGTTGTATCAGACTCCATAGCTCTAGAGGACAAAGAAGGTGACAAGTGGATACCATGACCTTTTGTTGCTGCCTCTCTGAGGGCTGGTGTCATTATAGCTACTGTAGGCAGTTTACAGCAAACCTGAAAACAACATGGGCCATGTCAATTTTCTCATTTTCATGACGTGATACAAATACAACAACTCTGTCAGGTATTTCATTCTTTCAGCATTTAAACATTAATCAAAGACATCATATAAAAGGACATGATCTAAAGACTACAGACAGATTACACAACTCCAAAGCAACTAAGAATGCTAGTCTTTCTTTAATACATACAGAAGTTGTTCCATGTGCAATGAAAGCATTCACCTCTCAGAGGAGTAAGTGTTCAGACCTCCTTGCATTTCTGATCCAATCAGAAAGGATAAGTTGAGGGAACAGGGCTTTTTTAGCTCGGAGAAGAGAAGGCTCCGGGGAGACCTCATTGTGGCCTTCCAATACTTGAAGGGAACGTATAAACAGGAGGGGGAATGGTTGTTTATGAGAGTGGATAGTGATGGGACAAGGGGGAATAGTCTTCAAGCGAGACAGGGGAGGTTTCGGTTGGATATGAGGAGGAAGTTTTTCACACAGGGTGGTGATGCACTGGAACAGGTTGCCCAAGGAGGCTGTGGATGCCCCATCCCTGGAGCCACTCAAGGCCAGGCTGGATGTGGCTCTGGGCAGCCTGGGCTGCTGGTTGGCGGCCCTGCACACAGCAGGGGGTTGGAACTGGATGAGCATCGTGGTCCTTTTCAACCCAGACCATTGTATGATTCTATGATCACTCTGAGAAACAGCATTCAAAACTGTCATCTAACCTTGCCTCACTAAAAACAAGACGAGAAGCCCTCTGACTAGAAGGACACATTTTCAAGTATGGGTGCATGTGTGCACAGATACACACACATAATGACACACTTCTACACTTTCCTATCCAGAACGGTGGAGAGATTTTGTTATAATGTGCATTTCACTTAATAGTAGTAGACTCGCAAAAAACACGAACTACTCATCAAGTCTAGTGCTTTAAAAACTAAACTATGAGTTTTTCCACTGTCCTTCTCAAGTCTTCAGTTTCTTTAGTCTACACAGCAACTGTCTATCTCGGTAATTTCCAACACAGACCCCATATAGGGTCCGTGTTTCCAAGACGCCTCTGTGTGGAACTGAAGCAACCCCTGTGCAAAAGTTTGTGACTACAGCCTTTACACTGAAGGTGCAAACATCAAAGGCTGACATAACAAGCTGAGAAGTACCAGTCTGAATACTTTGTCCTTAATCCTCAGACCACTACAAAAAATCAAGAACCACAAATCTGCTTCTGCTTTAGCACTCTCTGTGAAGCGTACTCAGCTTTCTGTGCTCTGTGTATACATCACCTGTTAGGTTCTCATCTCTGCACAGTGCCTACCCAGCACCACAGGGTCGGAACTCAGCAGTCCTCGTGGTAATCCTGAACAACAGTACTAAAAACCTGAGGATTTTCACTCTCATCCTACCTAGCAGAGAGACCCAGTGCTTTAAGAATGACAGACTGTCGCTCCGGAAAACCAGGACACGTCCATGCATGGGACCAACGCTCCCCAAGCAAACGAGGAGTTACACTGGATACACTTATTTCACACCTATAAAAGGTAGAGGCTATTCAGCACAAAATAACATTCCCTTTGAGGACTCCATCCCTTCTTGGAACAGCCTGAAATTTCCTAAAACAGAACAAATGCCATTAGCAAATCACCCTAAGTTTGTCTAGGACCTTTTTCCTCCCCTCTTTTCTGGGAAAGATGGAAAGAAAAGGAAAAAAATCAAAGTACCTTCAAATTAAACCCCTACCATTAAACTAAAGAGCACCAGTCAAGCCACCTGACAAAAGGCTTTATGCTACAGTACAGCTAAAAAGTAAAGAAAAATGCTTCCAAAGAGAAAAATCTCGCAGCTAACCCCTCATCCAGTAACTTGCTAACTTCACACAGTGGCTGTGCCCCAAGGAAGCCATGTGAGACACTTCAGGTGTGTCCCTCTCATCTCAGTGACATCAAAAAGACTTCACAAAGTATGAACTGCAAAAAAAAACAACACAAAAAACAAACAAACAAAAAAAAACCATGGTAGAGTGCAGTGCTTGGCTCCACAGAAATGGTACAATTTTTATGCTGACGTACTTTATTTCATTTTGGCAGAAAGCAGCAAAAATAATTTCACTCCACCCTTATTGGAAGTGTGTTTCCAAAGCCAGACCTGTTATCATATGGGGAAAAAAAAAGAAAAAAAGCAAGGGTATGGATGACAAGTAGCTTTGGTCTTTAGGAAAAGCTTGTGTTTTCATTCTGGAAGACTTCTTTTCTGACACAGGTGAACTATTTCAAGGATTTCTTGCTGTTCTGATTTTGAAACTGGCAAATGTTTTGCTTTTCATCTGTGTTATACATATTTCACTTGGAAGACTAAAAAGTACTGTAAAAAGAAAAGCTGACGTAAAATAGGAACCAGGCAATAGGAAACAAGCACCAGACACGCACAGGATAGCGACTGATGTTCAAAGTGCCTTTATGCTTATCCTCCCTAATGCCTTAATTACCCAGCAGGATATAGCCTGGGATTGCAGTTTGCCCCAACCCACACCCTGCTGCCTTCTCTCACCACTAAACATAACTTCCAGCCCCTAATCCTGCAGCTTTTCTACTGCTTTTCTACTGCTGCTCTGCTTATTTCTATTTCCATGTGGCATGTTGCAGCTCTAACCTTCTCTACCCATCACTAGGATCTGTCTAAATCTTGAAAACTAGCGCCTTCGTGCAGGCGATCAGAAACACTCTAGCAAGAAACACAACTGGTATTCCTTCTCCAGTCTGCAGACTGATGATTTTGTTCGTAGTCCTCTTGCTTTCTGACTCTCTCCCCTCTTCACACCACCACCACTTTGGCTACGCATTGCTGCAGACAATTTTGGGGGGGGGATTTCTGCTTGGGAGGAGAGTTTGTTTGACATGTGGCTGCTTTTTTTGTGATCTTTCTTTTTCCACAACCATTTGTTTGAAGGTTTGCAAAGGCTGCTCCATACCAGCCTTCTTCATTGTAAATGAAGGCGATTTTTGTCATCCCAAATACCTGAAACGTTCTTAATGAGACACCTGGACACCAAGGAGAGATTCTTTTCTTTTTGTATCCAAATTCAAGGGCCTACTCTGCCTGCAAACACATTTCAGATGAACATAACCAAGCTGTATTTCAGATATATGAACTTCCAATGTTTATTCCTTCTCTAGTAAACATTTCAAAAAGCAAAATAACCGGGAGCAGACAGCTTCTGCTGAAATACCCAAAACTGAGTTCCAGGAATGTACAAAAGTACTGCGTTTCATGCCGATGAGGGCTGATTTAAAATCCCTTACAGGGCACCTGCAGCAGACCTGGTTTCCCCCAGCACAGCGCCGTTCGTCCTGTGAGCCCCAGCTCCTCTCAGCCAGCCCCTGATTATCACCGGACAAAAATAAAGCGCTGCTCTGGCAAACTGGCACTGCCTCAGCTGGCTGGGGCCACGGAGCTGGGTTTGGGCAGCTCCTTTGAGCTGCGTCCCACAGGAGGCAGCCACACGGGGATAACTTTACCCAGCTCTCCCCAAAGTTACGGGATTGTAATGATTTCTGAGAAGAGAGATAAGAGCTCAATAGCACAGCCTGCGTTTGCTGATGGAGCAGTTGGCAGCCACGGCCACAAAGGAGATACGGGTCCCACCGGGCACGTCCTGGTTAGAAGCATGAAAGAAAAAGGGAAGAAATCCATATTTAGCACACCTGGGACTGCTCTTCCAGATAAGAAATCATCTCAGCAGGCAGCCTTTGTTTTCAGTTCAAACGCAGCCCAGTTGCTCACGAGGAGCATTTAAGCGTTTCAGCATTTGGTTCTATTAATAGACTGAAAAAAAAAAAAACAAACCACCAAACCCAAGCACAACAGGATTACGTGGGACGTCTCAGCTTCCAGCAGCACACAGGACCGCACAGCCCCGGGGGATCCCTCAGTTTAAGACCACCCAAACAGCTCCGATCATTAAAAACCAAAAAAGAACATCAAAAGGGATACACTCGTTAGCATTCATTTATGACAACTCCACATGGAGCCGTTTTTCTCCCCCGGTGGAGAAATACACGTCACTGCCAAGCTCGCTACCTGACCTCACGCCTTCGTACCTCGGCGTCCCACGACGCGCAGCGACAGGCAGTGACAGCGCAGCGCCCCTCGCTCAGCGCCGCTCAAGAAACCGCGCGCTGCCGAACGCAGCCGGCTTCCACGGAGCGGCCCGGCGTTCTACCCGGCCGGGAGCGCGGAGAGCAGCGAGGAAGCGCTCGCCCCCCGACAGGCGACGGGGCTTCCGTCACGGTATTTACACTTTTTCACTGAGGATCGCCTCCTTCGCTCCTCGCCGCTGACGACGAGCCAGAGTCCCGGCCACCGCCCGAGGCGGCTGAAAACTCCCGCTCCGGGCCGCGCGGGAGGCGGAGCGATGCGGGCACCGCCCCCGAGGCGCCGGGCCGAGGGCTGAGGGCGGCGACGCTGCCCCTCCCGCGCGGCCCCGCCCCCCGCGCCCACGGACCGTTACCCCCCCGCGCCGCCCCGCCCCCACACGCTTTCCTCCTCACGCATGCGCGCCCGCGCCCGCCGGCGCCACCGCCGCGGGAACTAACCGCCGCCCGGCCGCGGCTTCTCCCCCCTCCCCGCGCCTCGGCGCCGCGTTCTCCGCCGCCGGCCGCCCCCCCTCGCCCCGTCCCGTCCCCTGTCCCCCGCCGCGCCCCGCGCTTGCCTCCGCCAGGCGGCTTCTCCGCAGCGGCGCCGCCGCCCCCAACCCCGCGCGGCGCGGCGCCCGGCGCGGCTCCCACTGCCGCGGTTGAACAGTCCGCGCCCAGCTAAAGCGCGGCGCGTCCCCGGGGCGGGGTCAGCCCGCCGCCGAGGGGCGGGACGCGGCCAATCTGCCGCTCCCGGGGGCGGGGCCGGGCCGACCGCCATTGGCGGGGATGCGGGGACGACCCGCCCGCCGTGCGCGCCCTCGTGCCGGCCGAGCCGCGCCGTGCTGACGGGGACGCGCCGCGCCCCGCCGAGCGATCGCCGACGGAAAACTGAGGGAAGAAAGCTCCCGCCCGGCACTTTCGGTCACCGAGCGGCTCTAAGCCGGGCCCCGCGCAGCCCCCGCCTGGAAAAACACCTCGGTCAGTCCTCGACGGGAAACGCAGCGCCCAGGCGCCCCCACGGAGCCGTCCCGCGCCTCCCCGGCACCGAGGTGTGAAGTGACACAGCCGAGCACACAGAAATCCTTTATTACATTTGTCCAAAACGCCAATTACAGTAAGGCACAGACGTGAAGCGCATATCGCCCTCCCCACAGCAGTGACAGCAGTCAGCAGCCGTGTATGGACAGTGACAAGGTCCCGGCCTCCCCCCTCACACTGGCTTCTGCTCCCACTTATCCATCACAAAGTGGTTTCTGTGGGAAGCAAGATTTAATCCCAAACAGCAAAGGGTACAGTCAACGTAAGAGCATTTGGTTACCCGTAACACTCCTTTCACTAACAGGTCATGGGAACAGTCATCCAAATAGATTTAATGAACTTTCCATTTAAACATTAGAAATCCTCCTTAGGAGCACCCTTGTTGCTAACAATTCACTTAAGCAGGCTTCTCTCCCTTGGAAGAGTATAATATACTACATCCGTCTCCTTTACTTACATTCCGATGTCTGATTTTATGTCCTGTATTACTATAAAAGTGCTCGGGAAGGTTCTCCGGACAGCCAGCACCTGCCCTAGTTGTCACTGACAATTTCTCTGGCGATCAGCTCCTTCATAATCTCATTGGTGCCACCATAGATGGGCTGAACACGGGCATCCACAAAAGCTCTGAGGGGAAGAAAAAGGAGAGATTCAATGAAGGATTCCTCAGCGTATGTGTACCCCCAAAACAGCGGGTGCTCGTTTTCTTCACACCAGCCATAAACACTTATTTTAAAGCAACCTTTCATGCTCTTTAAATACAGATAAATTTAGAACAGAACTAAATCTATCAGTTTAAAAAATGAACTCCAAAGATCTGCTTATGACAACTGCCCGGCAATCCCGTTCTGTTTTTGTGACTTCTATTTATTTTAAAAAAGGATTAGTTTTGGTAGTTAAAGAAGCTCTACCTCTGTTATTGTGGCAACTAAATACAGTAAAAGAAAAAATTAAGTTGTCTTAGACTGGAAATAGATGATCTCTGAGGTCGCTTCCAGCTCCAGCCATTCTATATACCACGAACAATTAAAGACATCTGTACAGATGATTGCCTTTCAATAAACACGACGAGAAAAGGAACAGTCAATCAGTACTAACACAAAACAACTGACAAGGCGATGTAAGAAGGGCTGCATTTTATTTGGCCAGCAATCCTTCACCAGTCAGGTCTGAAACGGTGCACTTACTTTGCAATCGGATACTCCCACATGTACCCCGAGCCGCCGTGCAGTTGCACACACTGAGTTGCCACGCTGTTTTGGAGATCAGACGCCCTTAAATGGTCAAGAAGAAATTTGTTTTTAGAAGGGTGCATGCTATGAAAAATTAACAGATACAGATAAGCTAGCAAGACTAAAATACACCCTGATGGGTTTTTTTTGCAATCTAAAGCATTGACCATTCAAATACTTCAACTGGGAGAGACTTTTCTTCCTCCATGATGAAAAATATGTTGAATTGAAAAGCATTAAGATTTGTTCTCCATGTGGAAGAGCTTTCAGAGAACGGAAGCTTTCGAAACAGAGAACCCTGCTTACCTTCCTCACTGGCCAAAAAACTTCTTTTGTGAAGCATGTTGGTACATCCTTCTTATCAAACCCTTCTCTTCCGGGCTCTTTGAATACAACCATCATCAGGGAATACTTCATTTTCCTCAAAATATTTTATGGCTTTCAATTCCCAAAAATACTTTAATTCCACTGCAAACTACTCATTTATTCTATGATTAAACTTTTTTTTTTTTTTTTCTTAAGCATTCAGTTTTATGAATCATCCCTCTAGAAGATGACTGATAACATGTCATTTGAAGTTGATGTCCTGCATCTCAGCCTCTGGAAAGCTACATACTTCATGTTATTTCAATCAAGAAAAATCAGACAAAAGAACGCATAGGATTTTAACTGCACTGAAAGTTCAAGCAGAAGCGATGTGGGGAAAAAAAAAAAAAAGCACAAAAACCCCAACAAAACAGAACCTTCAGAGTGGCAACAGAAGATGATGACCATTTAAGTCAACTGCTTTTCATGAAAGAGCGCAAGAGTCCCTTATTCCATGTTAGGCTCCCTGTTAAATTCGTAGTCTAGAGTATCAATGTTAAATGTGCAACAGTGAGTTACTTCAACCTCAAACACACTTTTGGAGTTAGCTGTACAACATACTCGGTCATCACAAAGTGAAGAGCACAGATCTTTCACAAGCTGTCAGGAGGCAGCCAGTGACACTACATTCTGAAGTCACCACACCTCTAACTCAAGTCACTGACTGCACAATAGGTTATAAGCAAAACAAATAGGAAACTGTCTCCTAAAACATTACAGTTCTGCATTCAAGTACCTTCTAAACCATCTAGGTTTAGAAGGGATTCATGGAACAGAGCCACAGGAACACTTTTAGGAACGGGGAAATCCACAACAAACTGTGGTACTAATGTTCGGGTGGGTGGGGGGAGTTTCAAATTCCTTGCTTTGGAAAACCTTTTGAGGAAGTAAGTCTACATCTGAGCTGGCACGCAAGCTGTTTCCTCCTCCTCAGAGCTGAATGCCTCCGCTTACGTACCTGGTACTTCTAGGTAAGTAGTGCCAGAAACGGCATTCAAACAAAATCCTTCCTTTCGTTGTAAAGATTCTCACCAAATTCCCTCAGCATGTTCTACACATTATCTCAGCGTTTATTTCTCAAAGTTTAGAATCCGAAAAACCTCTGTCTTCCCTAAGCTATTTCTTAATGTCTGGCATATTTTTTCTACTATCTTTGCAAGCAGAACAAACTCCACAGATTACAAATTCCTGTGACACATCTCTTGGATGCCTTCAGTCATCCAGATTTCCCTGGTTAAGCCCCAGTTAACAGATAACTCCACCAAGTGTGGGGGGAGAAGGGAGGAGGAGTTCTGGCCAATAAAGGAATGAACTGTTTAGTCTCAATTACAGCAATAGCTGTAGCCAACTATTTCTTCCCAAAACGGTTTGTTTCGGTTTGTTTTTTTTTTTGGTTATTTACAGGGAAGAAAAAGGGGAGGAATTTAAATCTCTTAGATGTGTTTTATTTTTATAAGCAAACAAAATAAGGAGCCTGAGTAACAGCTCATAACTAATGAAAGGTAACATAGTGATGTCTTAAATGCACAAAAACCCACAGAATCCGGGATTGATAGTTAAGTTCCACATGTATGTTACATCCTGAGAATTAACATGAAATGGAGCCTCACTTCAAAAAGTGGCTGGGCCAAACAGCTATTAAAGCTAAATAATGTTAACTAAAAGGTATTCTAGATCCTTGTGATTAAATACATATATATTATTTTTTAATTATTATAGTAAAAACTGCTTTTTCCAAATACCTATGAAATGCTCACTTGTATTTGAAGCTGAGCTGATTATTAATGGAAGCCTATTTTAAAAGCATGCTACTACTTTAAAACTGATCTTTTAACCAGCACTGGTTTTCAGAACAACTGAGGCCACTGTTGACTGCTCCACTGAAGTTAAAGCTAAAGGCCTCTCTTAGAAACCAACAACGTTGTTATTAATCAGTCAGTAATTTTATCTTTTGTTTAAATCTGAGCAGTTCAATGCTTTTATTACTAGACTCCTGTCAAGATCATATAAGTAACACTTCCAAATTACTTTAACCACATACCAGTACTTTGCCATAGAAGCTGTGGGGGAGTCCAGGCGTTTTTCTGAGTGCAGCTCCAAACAGTTGTCCAAAAAAGCTCGGCCCACACAAATGTTCGTCTTCATTTCTGCCAACTTGTGCTGCACCGTCTTATTTTGGAAGCGGGCAGAGGAAGCAGAGTAAAGAAAGAGCAGAAGTAGAACTGTTTTTAAGCTGTGTTTGAAGTTGAAAGGGAAGCATCTTCTAGAAGCATTTCTGTTTGTATCTTTACATCAAAACGCAGTTTGTTTTCCATACAGTTACATCTCTACCAGTCTTATTAAGGGAAATTACTGCTCTTTAACTTGCCAGACAACTCACAACATGACATCATGGGGAACCCCCCAAATGCCTGAAAACAAATTCCTGGATAGCGCAGAGTAGGAGGTGCTGGGAGCTCTGCTACTGTCTTTTCACTCCTGTGGGAGAACGTGCTTCCAGCCGAGTTAGTAACACGTCATTGAGCACTGGCTGCATCTGCTGAGCATTCAGTGCTTCAGAGTTTAAGTGATGTGCAAACCATTTTGAGCAAAAACAAAGAAAGTTTTAGACCAGCTATCAGAAAGTTTTCTAATGCCGAGTTACGTCATATTGAAAGAGATGTTTTAGATCAGGCACGTCCGACCTGTGGCTCATTGTATCTCTTGTAGGTACCATGAAAAGACAGCAGGCATTACATTTGGAGCAGCCTACGTATATCTGGTCCAATACAACCCCTTTTCACTCAATGTGGCCTGGTGGGTGAAGCCCATTATGAAGGGTACCTGAAACCAGGTAAGGCAACATATCACTGCCTGCTGGCAGTTCTGCTAGGAAGGGGATAAAAATCACCTACTGGGAACAGAAATTTTTCCTGATCTCACAGTTCTAAACACCTACAGAAATGGCCTTTTTGCCTTCATTCAAAATTAATGTAATTGATTCTCAACTCTGTATACATTTAGCACAACTAATTAATTTAGGCAAGGCAGGTCTAATTAGAAAGGATTTTTGATTACATGTGCATTCTAGTGCGACAAGGAAACTGAAAAGGTATGCAGGGATGGAGGTTTTTTTTTCCAAAAATACTGTACTTCATCAATATTATTGGCCTCCTGGTGTTTGGGAACGGGTTATCCTAAAAAACAATATTATTTTGGAGGTCTCTGCACAGTGAACTACCACAGTTAGACAACATTCCATACCTACATAAATAAACTTAAAATACTCTTTTTGTGCTATAGCTGCTCACTGGACATATTACATTCGCTGCTTCTACATGTTAAGTTCAAAAAGAAATAAAGATCATAGCTCCTGGATACCTAACATTCTAGCTCCTGAAGAGCTCAATTCTGCTGCTACTCAGAACAATTCAAGATTCGATTCTGACAAAGGAACTCTCAAAAGAAAAAAAACAAAATATTCCAATTCCAGTTATTTCTGAAGCGTATCAGAATCAAAAATCTAACATCCTGTAATGTACACAGGCAATTCCTGTCCTATAAATCAAACATACAGGTGCTTGGTCGGTTTCAGACCTAAAAGATTATGTGGTTTTCAGGAAAATTGTAATAGCAAATGTTTCTTTCCATGTTACTGTGCTTTATGACAGCAATTAGGTAGAGTAGGCATGCCTCAAAATGCAATTTAACCACTACTATCAGGGGAAGTCATATTTACAAAGAACGATCCAACAGTTTTACAATGCAATCACTTGCATACCCATCTACCTGGTAGGTGAGGAATCTCATTACAATACCCATAAAGCTGGACATAAACACCTTTGCAGCTATTCAAGCTGCAAGGTCACTGCTTGGGGACCATCACAGCATCAGACCCATAAAGATCATGCTGTTGCAGTGCATTACAGAGAGATGGATGACATGGCTTCACACACACCACGCTCCTCTGCAGTCTACAGGACCTCAAGTAGATACAGAAATGCAAGCAGTGTAAACATACTGTGATTAGTGACTTCTGATGGTAAAATGCAAGCCTACGAGTGACCAGCACAAAGCCAGTGGTTTCTGCCTGTGTATTTTCCTTCCAAAAGCATTATTTCTGTAGGATTCCTTACCGTTAAAATACAAGCATTGTTATTTGTGGCTTTGGAAAACAATGGGAATGAGGACAAACAGCAGCCACAGGGCAACAGCGAAGCCTCCACAAGCAGTCCTTCACTAAAGTCCAGTGACTTCTTGCTTGACGTTACACATACACAAACTCACATCAATTTCTCTGCTTGCATCTGCCTTACAGGTCTCCCTGTTCAAGCTCACCTGTAAATGTGCAACTGTCTTCCCAAAAGCTTTTCTTTGCCTCACGTAATTCCTTGTTTCCTCAAACATGAATTCACAGCCGGCGAGAGCCATATCAGCAATCAGCAGTCTTTCCTTTAGAAACACAGAATCCAGTAGTCAGTCCTACACTTCTGATCATTAGATGCACATATGCAAATACACAATTGGGAAACAGATGTTCAGTGTTGCTCATTAAGGGAGGGAGGCAGAAGTCGCACCAGAGATCAAACCAGACATACTGCATTACTGAAATTAGAGACTAGGCCAAACGTTTCAGTGTCCAAAGCCCATTTTTAAGGCTTTTCGGTGGAACATCGTCCCAGTAAAAGATACCTGTCAACCACAGGACTCTTACTGACTGAAAGCTTCACATCGAAATCTGTTTCATTAGCAGTCTGCACTGCTCAGTTTTAAAAAAAAAAAAACAAACCTAAATCCTACATTTAATAATTTCAGTAGGATACTTCTTAAAGAAGAAAACCTACATAAGGACACAAGCTGTTTTTCTTCCCTTTCTTCAACAAAATGTGTTGATAAACAAAGTACAGAACGATTGCTTTTAGCACTGTTAAAATATCTCATGCATCCCATTGAACCTGCTTGCAATTGCATTTGTTTCTTTAAAGCAGCAGCAGATTTCCTTTAATCAGGTTTCTTATTTTTTCACATTTACTCACAGCCTAAAATTAAATAAACATGATCTCTACCAGATGAGGCAGTCAGAGTTTGGACAAAGCACAGTCAGGTTTTGGAAAAAACACATTGCCCCTTTTTCCTCCCAGTTCATTCCGAAGCTTCAGCAAGTCAATCTTTGTTATTTTCACTAGCAAGGTATCTGGATAACTTATTTATTTACTTTGCTTTATGGATAAGGAAATAATTTCTTACATCTTGAATACGCTTCTACAAGTAGAAAAGCTAAGACAGCAGTGTTTGCTTTTTTCTTTGAAGAGAATGCCAAATGCAGAGTCTTCCAAGCTGAACGTCGTCTGCTAAGAGAAATGGTTCCACGGTAGAAGTATACAAAAAAAAAGCCCTGATGTATTCTTTAAACTAAGCTCAGGTTCTTCAATAGCTGGGTTGCTGACTTTGAGATAGTGAGAAGTCAGCACCGTTACCAATGCCAAAAGAATTTGGGTTCTGAGCACCAGAAACAGCACACTTGAGGTAAAAAGCAGAAGTATCAACTCAGAGCTACCCTGAGGCACGTGTGGCTCTCCGAGATCCACCACCTCCAACATTCTTGCAGTGATAAAAAATTACGTGCCCGTGTTCTTCCCAGAGACAGCAAGCATTCTCACTGCTCTTACCTGAGGGAGCTCTGCCATCAAATAATAGAAGCCTTTGTTCTCTTTCCCAAGCAAGGCGCTTGCTGGCAACCGCACATCTTCAAAAAACAGCTCTGCCGTGTCCTAAGAAGATTTTAAAGGACAGCTGATAGTCTGACATTCTCACCTCTGCATTCCACTTTTTTCCCCCATTTTGTTCATTTTGTCATGTTAAGTCATAGAATCGTTTAGGCTGGGAGGGTCCTTCTGAGGTTGTCCATTCCCCCCAAAGATGGACAAAGCACTCAAAGCACCGACAGCAGCTGAAGGTCTTGTCCTGTTTCACTTCCTGATGCTTCCAAACAAGATGCCCTACAACTGCTCTGAGCCCCTGGTTCCAGCATCGCATCACTTTTATGGTGGTTTTTCTTACTAACCAACTTAAGAGTTTCCTCAGTTTAACTTGTGTCACTTGCCACCCTTCACCTGTGCTGCTCTATTTCTACAGGTAGCTGAAGACAGAAATACAATCCCATTCTTCCAAGCTTTCTCAGAGTGAAGGAATCCAGCTGCCAGCTTCTCCTTTGCACATCATGTACTTCAGACTTCCAAATGGGAACTCAATATACATACTTGGTATGTATAATTTTTATGCTCCAGGTCTTAAGTATTAAAATAATGTAACGGTTTCATTTTTTCTTTATTAGGCTAGTGCCAGGCATTGAGCAATTTAGACTTCCTCAAAGTCTACTACGTATTACAGGTCACATGAACTTACTTGAGCTTTCAGGCCTATTTTTTGCAGCTTGCGTCCTTTGGTGAAACCTTTTGTTCCATTTTCCACCAGAAAAAGGCTGATTCCATGAGCAGGAGATCGAGCCTCTCGGTTTGTAACCGTAACCACAATCACCACGTCACACATCCAACCATTAGTGATGAAAGTCTGTAAAAACAAACCAACAAAAACCAACACAGCTTGGAATACTGCAACAAGCGAGGTGGATAGAAATTAGAAGAGATCATCAAGCAGTACAAAGAAAACCATCAGCGTGTGGATGCTCTCACAGGTAAACTGAAAGGCAAGGTTTAAGTGTCCAGAAGCATTTTAGTAATTCAGGAAGTCTAAAGTGCTGTCTAAGAGGAAATTACATAATTGGAGAGGCATTGTGTGGTGACAATTGTGAAGTGAAAGAATGCACAGACCTTTTTTCTTTTGTCTGCCCCCTGCTAAAGAATGAAGGAGTTATCAGGTGTAGACATCAAATGAAAAAAGGTTCTCTTGTGTAATAAACTAGCAAAGTATAAAATGCAAAACCACTGATGGCCTCTACTAACAACTGCTTAAGAGAGTTCTGCAGAATGATACATCCACTTGTCAAAGTGACTCATCCTACCACCACCAAAAGAAATAAGCAATGTCTCCTGCTTGACTTCAACCACACATAATGAGCAAATATATTCACAGACATCTGTATGCACAAATTTACTCGTACACACTAACTGCAAGAGCTTGAAAGCATACACACAGCATCTAATGCCATTCTCCTAATACAAACTTCTGAACAGATTCCACAGCCTGCAATGCAGCACCTTTTCTCAGGCCACAGGAAGTTTAACATTGGTAGCATGCATACTTTAGTGTTCAACCTCAGCAATAAGAAACAACACAGGTTCTGCTTATACAATATAGGACTTCTTCCAGTGCAAGTAAAAAGAAAGTCTTCAGGTAAGATTATTTAAGTACTATAAAAAGAACCTGGTTCCCATGAATAGCCAAAACCAGAAGTAGAGTAAGTCTGTATACAAAAATAATAATAATAATAACTGGCAAAACAAGAAGAAAAAAAAAAAAGAGAGATAGGAAGGACAAGTGGGAGACACTGATTCTGGTATGCATCCCTCCCTGAGTGCCTCCAGCTCCGAAAGGCTCTGAGTGACGTACACGTCTGTTTGCTTACCTTACTCCCATTAAGGATCCAGTCACTTCCATCTTTTTTTGCATAAGTCCGTACTCCTTGCAAGTCACTAGAATGGAATTCAAAAGACCCTTCAAGGAACTGTTCCAGACGCTTTAATTTGTATCTTGAGCGCTACCCAACAGAAAGTAGACTTCACACCATGGAGACATGCAGTCAGTGAAAACGCACAGGAGGATAATAGTATACAGTAAAATGGTTTTCAGTAACACAGAAACCAAAAGCCTGCTGCAGAAAGAAATGATAAACGTGTGCAATCATACGCGAGCATGAGGTCCCCCTTGAACGGATCTGCCTGTGGGAGGGTGGTGTGATGAAGCACTGATAGCACAAGTCAGCATCCCCTTAGGCTGATATGCTTTAGAAGGCAAACGTCAGACAAAACATTTTCTGAACATGCTCAGTCTTAATGAGGAGGCTCTGCAAAAATACATGGCCAACATCCACCCTCTGGAAGCACGACACCAAAAGGTTTTGCTTTTCACCTGTTCCTCTCTGTTGTGGAAACTGGCCAGATCACCTGTGTCTACTCAAAATATGTGCTGTCTGTCCTTCAACAATGACAGTAAAGGAGCAACATTTATCTGTTTGAAAGGAGTCAGAGGGGAAAACAACAACAAAAAAAAACCCAGCATTTTGTTCCACAACAAAAATTAATATTAAAGAAGTAAAGCCATCTTTACCAACGTAACTTTCTCCTCATTACATTTCATATTAATTCACAGGATGAGCAGGTTGACCATAAGCTCAATCCATAAAAGGAAATACAAAGCATATTTGCCCATTGTGAGACAATAAAGAAACAGATTTTGAGCAAATATCTTGAATTGGCAAAGCTGTAACAGAGCGATCTGCAAGTCTGAGGCCATCCCCAGTCTAGGATATTGACTAGTTATTAGGATGTCCACATAACCAGGATGCTCATGAATTTCTTTCACTGAGAAATCAGTAGACAGCAAATAAGATTATGACCATCTGTCTTTATTTTTCAGCTTACCTGCCAGCCCCAGGCTCTGTCATGGCAATAGCACCAATGCACTTGCCTGCAGCCATCTGAGGAATAAAGTGTTTGATCTGTTCTTCAGTGCCGTAATTTGCAATGTAGGGCATGACTATATCGGAATGAAGACTAAATCCTGGGCCAGTACAGTTGACGTACATCCTGAGGAGTGGGAAAAAACAAATCAGCTCAGGCAGCAACACTACAGAAATTTCAACATTGAACTTTTACACCTTTGCAATGCAAATCCAACGCTGGAAGCAAGCCCTACAGCACAGATGTCTCGGACATAAGGTGAACTTGTAGCACTTGCACTGTTATTTACAGAATGTATTTTCACAGCCAAATTACTGTGTAACCTACCAGACTAATCAAAATGCTTCCCTCAACTACAGTAGAGCATGATGACATTTATTACTTAATCACCTGAGAGGCATAAAGCTGAAGATTTACACGTTTTAACTACTGATGCCAATTTCTGTAAGCAATGAAGAAATCTTATGAAAAACAAAACAAACAAAAAAGCAGTTTATTGATAACTTGAATTAAACTCTTCCTGAAGTGCCTAGTACTTACTGCTCCTCCCAGAGCACGGCTGAGGAGAGAATATCCGCTCCAATGCCTCCATGTTTCTCTGCAATAGCAACACCCAGCAAACCTTGCTGTCCAGCTTTTTCCCAGAGCTCTCTGCTCACCTGGCCATCCTTCTCCCATCTGCAAACAGCATAAGAAAAGAGATATCCATTAAATTCTCCACGTGCTACCTCTCATTTTTCATGGCTGCTGCTTCATGCTAGAGGGCCCACAGCAAGTTTTCAGTGCCTGGTAGAGAGGCTTTCAGACTCAGCAGCACACAACACAGCATACAGGGCGCTGAGACAACGACGTTTGCCAGCTAAGAATTGATGGCTTAATAACAGGTTTTCGATTCTTCACAAATGCCACTGGCATTACACAGATACCAACTATATAACACATCCGAACCCTGGCTTCCAACACATAAACCTGATGACTCCTTATGACTTGTTACGAAAGGCTGTGCTGCGTCTTGGTCTGAGCACCAGAGCAGGATCTAGGAGGTTTAGCCACAACCATCTGGATCATCACAAGTAGATCCTCACCTTCCTGACATTCCATTTTCCCATAAAATGGGTATAAAGTATCAATTTCTGAAAGGTTTTGATTCTTACCAATGAGAAATGCTTTTCAAGAAAAAAAGCACCGATACATTAGTAACCTTGATATCAAGTACAAAAACATATAAAATAATATATATTAAAAAAAAAAAATCAGTCCTTTTTCACTTAGTGCTGTACCTTGGTAAACTACTGCTGAAGTAAGGCGGTTTTAAGTTTGTGAATAGACAGCTAAGGCTTGTCTGCTGATAGTTTGCAAACTGTAAGAATCACTTGTTCCCTAACAAATAGTACCCTGAGTTCACCAACACACCAGAAAGTCGAGTGGCCATTAATGGCCATTTTTTAATGATATGATTGACAAATTGGGTCAGAAAGACTCCTCAGATGCACTGGTTTGCAGCAGAGCTATACCACAGCGCTTTATCCACAGCTAATAATGCTTCTTGTCACACTCGCATTAAGTTTACTCCCAGAGTTTCTGCTCCTGCACTGGAAATCTTAACCAGTGTTCTCTAAAGACCACCTTTGGGGGGGTTTTTGCCCCCTACTTTCAGGGTCACTGCTGTCTCGGTCACAAAAACATTTTCCTCATGTTCATCCATGTTTACTGATGCCACACGCTGGCCCAGCCAACTGGTACACTATGCCTGAAGCCTATTTGTTTATTTGAAAGCTGTGAGAACAGAATGGTTCATAGGTCTCTGCAGTGAAGCAAGAACCCAAGTCCAGCTTGCCTCAGTCACCTGAAGAAACAGTTGCGTCAGCAAACAGGATCATAATTAACCTGGAGCAGACACAACACCTGATCACAAAGCTATACCAGAAGTCTTCCTAAAAAAAGACAAAGGAAAATATACCCCCTCCACTTCAATGGAAGAGTGCACAAGCCGGGAAACACTGGCTGCAACTCTGTGAACTGCACTTGATCTGCTCACAAGCCTGCAACGAAGGCACCAGCTCAGAGCGATCTGTGAATTTTGCTGAATTTTATAGGCAGATCTGTTTCAATCGAGTCCTGTTAATGAAAACAAATGCCTTGTTTATCATGTCATAGTGAATAATACCTGACAATGCTTATTTTGGGGTGGGGAAAAGGAAATTATCTCGAAAACCAGAACGTTTAAAAGGCATCTCACTCTGTATGAAAAGGCAGCACTTCTTCCTGAAAGAACTTCCTGGCACTCTCCCTGAAGATATCGTGGTCCGACGAGAAGATCCTCCGGGTGCCGATGTCAGTCAGACGCTTAGCAGAAGAAGGCTCCAGGCGCTTCGTGCCATGCTGCTCGGTTGCAGCAGGGCTGAGAAAGAGAAGCAAACATCTGCTTGGACGCAGGCACAGCCTATTTCACAGCCCTTTGAAAAGGAAGGAAACACCTGCCTAGCAAACGTGGATTATTTATAAAGCTACTTTTGGCTCTACTGAGCTACATCTAAGGCTGCCGTTGTTCGAGCAGGGCGCAGGGCCCGCTGGGCACACAGCAGAAGGCCGCTGCTCTCCCAGCACCCCACGCTGGCACTGTCCAAGGGTGGCACAAGGGCACCGGGGCCCTACAACCCCTTGGTGCAGCAGAGCGGACAAGGACAGACCCTGCTGTCACCTGCTGTCAGCACGGGACTCCACTCCCTGTGTATGGCCAGGAAGTGGGGCAAAGGGCAGCCCGCAGTCTGCAAGGCAATGGCTGAACCTCCGGGCCCAGCGTGCCGGGGGGGACCCGAGCAAGCAGGGGTGCAGCTGTATGCAGATGTATGCACACATACGTGTGTGTGATCATGCGTTTCTATTCAGGCCTGCAGCCTTCCTGTCACCCAAATATATATATATGCATATACATGAATATATTTATGCACACGCACACAGAACTTCTGCACACCCACACAGGTACATAGGAAATACACCCCTGTATATATGTACCCCGCAACCAGCCCCACCAACACACCCACGTCAAGCCAAACGCGCAGCCAGTAGCCCGCAGCCAGCAGCCCGCAGCCCCTCAGCGCCGCCCCGCAGCCCTGCAGCCCTCAGCCCCGCAGCCCCCAGCGCCGCCCCGCTCCCCTCGCGCCTCCGTCGCGCGCCCGCCGACCTGGGCTGGGAGGAGAAAGCCCTCTGGCCGGCGGTCCGCAGGAGCCCACGCAGGCGAAGCAGGCGCGCCGCCATCTTGCGTCGGGGTGTGGCGGGGGGGCAGTGCGGGGACGGAGACCGGCGCGGGCTGCGCGGGTTGATGCCCTGCGCGGGGATGGCGCCGGGGCGCTGCGCCGGCCCTCGCTGTGTTGTAAAACAAAAGAAGCGTTTCTGTTTCCCGGAGTGTGGCACGCAATCCCCAGCGGTATGATTAAGTTCTGAATTCCTCCTAATCCATCCTGTTTACAACGGGATTATGATCAAAGTATTTGCATTTTTCCTTGAACGCGGTTTGGAAATCGCGTGGAAAGCAATCCTTTCGGCTGGCCGCAGGGCGCGGCTGAAGCCCTGCCGAAAAAGCAAATGGCGTCAAGTAATGGTCATCACGATGCGGTTGTTACTACAATTCAGGTGTTTCTGTAGTCTGAACCTGTAGTAAAGTTAACAACAATTGCTCCTTTTTGGGTCAGAAATGCTGCACCTCCACCGTAGGCCGGCAGATGGCAGCAGAGGCACGGCTATGTTGGGCCTGCCTACACGGGGACATCCGTGCCTGCCTGATGTCAGCCCGGTGTGACGCAGGTTGTCCCAGGCTTCACCTGTCGCTGAGGTCTGGAAATGCCTCGGTGGCAGTTTGATATTTTTCACAGCGTGTTTTTCTAGTGGGGAAAAAGGGCGGTTGTAAAAAAACCGGGACGTTAAGAACAATGTGTTGCTGTTGCTTTTGCAGAGAACAGGGCAGAAATAGGTATCAGAGCAGAGAAGAAAGTGAAGGCACACTGCTGGCATTCTAGATGCTGTTCCGGTTTGGGATAGTGCTTTTCTTACCACGGCCTTAAAGGACTTTGTGGAGAAACAGCACACTGCATTAAGTGACAGCTCAGTCTGGTCCTGCCTCTCCATTCATCATGTGGGCATGGTCACAGGGTGAGTCTGATTTTGATCTCCATTTCTCAGTGTTAATGCCTTCTCTTTTATATGGCTGCCTGCCATACCAGTGAATGGCACGTCTGTCCTTCCTGACCTCTCGTACAAACAACCTTCAATACTGGTGAGGGATACAGGTTGGCATACTTGCGTTGTCTTCGACTTGCAGCTCTCCTGCTCTCATGTTATGTGGTTAGCTCAGACTTCCTCTGAGACTGCAAACCACTGGAGTAATCTAGCAAATCCCCCCCCTAGTGATGCCCAGTGCTAATATCACCACCTCACCATGTTGCCAGCATGACATAAAGGCACCAACTCAGTGGTCTCTAACACAGTGCATTACTGTCCTTACCTGAGGATGTGTACTGTGACATTTGGGCTTTGTTACAAATTGATTTGGCTAACCATCCCATTTTGGATCACTATTTATGTTCTTTTTCATGATTTCCAGTGTTCATAAGTCATTGCTCTAGCTGGATGGGGCCAATGTAATTTAAAGCATTATCTTGCTGAAAAATTGCACGTAGCCTTGAAAAATGCAAGTGAATAAATGAGAAAGCGGTGGGTTACCTGGAGAAAAAGTGTTCAAGTAAAGCTCTGTGGGTAAGGCAAGTTGAAATGAAATTTCTTCTGATTTTGGTCAAAATGTCCCTATTGTTCATCTTCTCCAAATACAAAGACTGTACAAGTATATTGAAGTCAGAACAGCCCTGTGAAAGGAATTCTTTTCTCAGAGGTATTCTTTGCTGTCTTTCTACTGCAAGAAAAAAAATGATGAAGGTACTGAGCAAAAGGATCTCATTACATGCTTTATTTTTTCCTGTTACATAAGTAATCTACAACTTTTGTCTGTGTTCCTGAGCTAAGACATTATTAGTCCTGCAGCAGGACTTTTGTGCAAGGGTGTTCTTCTCCAGGACTAAGTATGTTGGACTTGGTTTCAATAGCGGGGCAAGTAACTCCTTTTGAAAGAATTATGGTTCTCTGTATTCTGACTTGTTGTACTTGATGGTACTACTGTCTGTAAAGCCAAGCTGCAGGATCTGACCAGAAGTTTTGAACGTGCAGCAAAAGACACTATTGACCTCCTATCGCAAAGCTCTTCATTCCCTTCTGAGACTTTCAGTCTCTTGCAAATAAAGTGTCAAATTATTCATGTCTGATATGAATGCCCTTGAGGTTTGGTTTCTGACTAGGTTATTTAAAACTCATGTGGTGTCCTCTTTTCAAGAAGAGTCCAGGTGCCAGTTAAGCATGTCTGCCCATCAGGGGCATGTATGGTCTTCATCCAACTTTTCTGTATTGGCATTAGAGTGCTGGGCAAGCTTGAATAAGATGCAAACTCTCAGCTTACTTCTGCCTATACGTGACTGTCCTTTGTGTGCTTTTGCCTGGGGTCAACACAGTATTAGTCATGTGCATGCAAGATGATGTGGCAGGGAGAGAGAAGCTGTGGCTGATGAGTGGGCCTTCCCTACCAGTAAATCCAGCTCCTTCAGCATGTGTCTTGGAGCACTTGAGAGACACCACACCCCTCCAAGACCTTTATGTCAAGTCCAGTGATTGCTGGGTGTCAACAGGAAGAGGGAGCAGAGAATCTCATGAGCAGAGATCGTGACTCAGCCTGGGGATTATGTCTTAACAGGGGACACAATTATTTTTTTCTTCAGATCTTTTTGGATGTGAAACTTCAAACTATCATGTTCATCAAGGAATCTAGGAATGCTCTGTAGCCGAGTCGTCTTATGCATACCTGTGCCAGCATGTCTTCTCTTACTTGGATATCTGGCATACTGATATACAGTGTTTCCTCCACAGATTTTCAGCTGAAATCCAGCTTAACTCAGTCATTAACCAAAAATGTTCCTAACAGATCAGCATTAGTGGAGTGAAATGCGCTTGAGTTGATTTGTGCTGATTGTTAGACATAGAGGCCAGTAGCTGTTGGTCAGCTGTGGTTGTACCTATTAGTCCAGGCAAATAAAAAATTAAACTTTCTTACACCAGTGTAGCAAAGTGCAGGGTGAGAACTGGTCCTTCCATAATGGGACAGTGCAGAAAAGGGGCATTGGAAGGTCCCATGGTCTGTGCAGATCAAGGTAACAGGTATAACATGCACTGGCAAACAAAGGATTCCTTAAATAGATGCTTCACAGCTTTCAAGAACCTGAATTTGCTGAGCACCACTCTCACACAGATGTAGGTGTTAAGAGGTTGTAGTAGTAAAAGGGTATATTAGGATGTTTGCATTACCATCCTAGCTGGTAGGAAGTAGGGTTATCTTAAGAGTTATAAGGCTGTAGCTAGAGTTCATATAGGTATTGATCTCCCTTTATTTGGCTTCTCAGAAAACCTTTGTGAACTTGAGAAAGAAGTAGGTAAATTCTGCCTTTTTATAATTGTATTCTTGTTATGTGTGATGTAGCCTATATCGGTTCACCTCATTGCTATTTTTTGTTCTGTCAGAAATGTGCAAAGGATGCAGTAGCAAATTAGCCCTCATTCAGTAGATCAGTGATGTTTCTTAATGATGAAAGAATAGACCAGAGGAAACCTTCTAAGTTAAATAGCTGTAATAGACTTTATTGATCTGATCTAGCTGTAATGTCCCTGTTCGTTGGAGGAGGGTTGGACTGGGTGACTTTTAAACGTCCCTTTCAACTCAAACAATTCTCCGATGCTATCTACTGTTGTTTAAAAGCGAACTTTGCTTTTTCAGATAGGTATAAACATTACAGACAATAAACTTTGAACTGAAAGCACTTCTTAAATTAATGAGGCAGTTAATAAGCACCATCACTTACGTGGAGGAGATCAACTTGAGAAATTGTAGTGTTTGGCGTAGCACAGAGTGAAAAATGGATCCTTCTTTGTACACAAAGAGCCAGAGAAAATGCATTCCCGAGCAAGCAACCCAAAGAGCTGATATTTGGGAAGATAAGAAAAATGTTTTGTTTTTGTTGCTTGGTTGAGCTGAGGAAGCGTAACAGCTGAAGAATGGAGCCTAAAATGCCTATCCCTGACTATCCTTGGGGTACAAGTTATATGGGTTGTGTTAAGGTGTAGGGCAATGCTAAGTCACTGCCTGAAGCAGTGACTGAACACCTGGTGGGAAGGCAGGGCCAAACCAGGGCAGCTCAGGTGCAGGCAATCTGAGTGACCCGAAGGGCTGGAGCCAGGATCCACCCCTTCCCAGACCTCATTTAAGGGCTGGCAGTGCAGGCAGGGGGTTCTTGCTGGATATCTGGAGATCCCTGTGTATGTGAGGCCTTTCAAAGGTAAGCTGTTCCTTTGTTTCTGCTCCTCTGGCTGTTGTATTTGAGCAAGTCCTCACTTGTTGTAGCCTAGGATTTTGTTACTTTGCTGTGGTTGCTCTGCTTTCCATCGTGTTACAGCATTGCATAACATGTATGCAGTTTTTTGAGTGATGCGGTTTAGGATACATATATCCTTTGTAACTAGAGTGAAGGAAGCAATTCCTTTCACCTGGAAAGAGGGACAACTTATTTTTGTTGGGGCTTTTAGCAGTTAGTAGAACGTGTGTCTGCCCAAGTTCTGGTTTAAAAAAAAAAAATAAAGTTTGTTTAGTGTGGGAAGAGCTTCTCCTCAAAGAAAGAAAAGACCTGTTATGAATCTCGAGTAGTAAGTCTGGAAAGCACTTGGTTTGGGCTGCCAGTGTCTAAACTATTCTGCATTTCATTGATGGAGTGCATAGTGGATTTATACGCGTATAGCAGCTACTTCAAAGTCTTAATCTATCACAGTTTCTTGGAAAGCCTTCTAAACTGACCCACAGATCTTCTGAAGCCTCTCTCTGAGCATTTAGTAATATATTGTGCCCTCAAATGCATAACTTACTGAAGGTGAAGGAGAGTCATGCTGTTATCAGGAGCTAATTGGCTAGGTTGTAGGAAACTATCGCCATCTCTACTTGTGGGTGGAGGCGATTGTTATCATGGTGCTTTGAAATGTGTGTGGAAGATGCAAAATGAAGGCGATATCCAGTTATTGTTTTGTCACAGCTCTAGTTTTTGAGGTTGTGAACTCTGTGCTATGCTGGCTTTCCTACAAGTTGTGCCTGACTGGAATTTCCTTTGGTATTTTATCTTTCTTTACATCCTGCACTGAAAAGCTGAATGTGGCTACGCTGTATAGAGTTTTAAACAAAAGCTCATTGACCGTGCCAGTTCCAGGAAGGGGTTTGGATTAGGTAATAATTTTATTCTATTTAAAAAATAAGTAGAGAAATGTCTTATCACAAGGCTCCTTCCCTGCAGTGCTACTGTGGCTACCAGCCCCAAGTCTACATGAAGATTGAATCGAGCTTCAAGACCAAAATTCCCTAGAGGAAATTTGGTTTTCCCTCTGACATAAGCTACGTTTGATTTGTTTCTTCACCTTCTTTCTTCTGGGCCTTCTTCACAAGTTATATGGCAGCCTTGAGAGACATTTCATCCACGTGATGCCTGGGGTTCTCTTGTCATCTCTTGGTTTCTATAGTAGCAGGGCCAGACGTGGTGAATTAGAAGTAATCATACACTTATCTTCTCGTCCTTTTAAGGATCTGCCTGCTAGGTATGCTCAAGAGATGGAAGACTGTTCTAACTCACACTCATTGTCATGATTTCTGATGTAGAACAGAGGCACAGTGGATTGCAGGGTATACAACAGGAAGGCAAAAAAGGGACAGGTTAGGGCAGAGAACAGAGCACTGAAGAGTCGCTTCAGGTGTGGGTAAAGAGCATAAACAAGGTGCCAACCATGAGGTGCTGCTTCTGTGACTGGCTTTCTCAAGACTTTGTGTTCCCACCTGTCCCTTAATGTGCTCCTTATTGCAAGGTTTCACCTCGAAGATTTTGAAAAGGCTGAGTGAGCTTCAGCAAATGGTTGCAGGGCTGGACAGGAGCAGAAATCCTTCGGTTGTGCTGCTGGCTGCTGTTCTCCATGCCTCTAAATGCCCCTCAAGCAGTGGGGGACTGTACACTACTAATGCATACTAA